TATGATCCCATTGATCCCAACAAGATAAGCCCCATGAAGCTTAAAGAGTTCAATGCTAAGGTGAAATCACTTCCATTCTATGTCACTTTTGAAGAAGCTTGGGATAAACATGGTCTAGTGGAGTTCTTTTTCACAACTAGTGAAAACAAAGAAGAGATACACCAACTTTTCAGGAAGGCTCGATTTCCCCTTGCCCCTCATGGAGTCAATCAACCACCATCACCACCATCATCACCACCACCTCAGTGGTATGTCAATTCCATATCAAGAGAAAGCTTGCTGAGTTCAATCAGTTTGTCCAAACTCTTCCAGCCAGCATGTCTTTCAAAAAGCTTGGCGCCACTACCCATTCACCACCTTTCTTCCACAACTGCAAGGAGACACCTGAGGACATAAAAGAGCTTTTTGAGAAAGCTAAAGTTCAGCCTACCTTCAAGACCCTCTACAAGATTGAAGACCCAGGTCAATTCTCTATTCCCTGTCAAGTAAATGGTCATTACTTTGATAGAACACTATGCGATTCTGGCTCTTGCATAAACCTCATGCCAACCCAAACCGCCAAACTCCTTGGCATCACACGCTTGCAACCTGCTCAAATTAGTATTGGACTTGCTAACCATACTATAGCCAAGCCAAGAGGAGTTGTTGTTGATGTTCTTCTAGAGATTGGAGATATCAAGATCCCGGTGGACTTTCATGTCATAAACATTCAAGGAGGATGTGACACACCATTGATACTAGGCCGACCCTTTTTGGCCACTAGCTGGAGCTGTCATGGACCTTCCAAACCGGCGAATGTCCTTAGCCAATGTGGACAAGACAGTCTTTTACAAGACCATACCATTCATCACCAAACAAGCTGTCTTACCTCATCACTGCCCAAGGCCGCCCAAGAGAGCCACCAGACCACACTCAAGGTCACAATGAGACAAGAACTAAAAGACTATGTCTCAGGCCGTGCCCTTACCCCATCTCCAACTAAGAGATCCTATCAGTCAAGCTAATGACTAAAAAGAAGCGCTGCATGGGAGGCAACCCATGAAAGGTGTTTTTCTTTACTTTTCTTTTCAATTTGTTTTAGTTAATGTCTAGTTTTGTTTTGAGATTTGGAAACAGGAATCTAAGAACCACACAATGGTAAAGAAGATATACCACAAGAAGAATGTTCATAGTTGGCGCGACTTAGATGGCCGAGCAGAACCTCTCCACGCTCGCCCATGTCCTCTCAAGCCGCCCAACACACCATCCCATCTCATTCCATCTGCATCTCACCCATCCCACCTCACCACACTTGCATTCCATCACTACCATCATTCCACTGCATTCACCATTCTTCAAGTAACACAAATCAGGTTACATCTTTCTTTTTACATTCACAACCACTTTATTACCTCTTTCTTTAACTCCCTTAATTGGATTTTCTTTCACCGGGACGGTGCAAGTTAAGTCTGGGGGGATTGTCGGTACTAATGTGTTTGTTCATGGTTGTTTTGATCTTATAATTGGTTTTTCCTAACCCACTTTTTCAAAACTTCTGTTTTATTGAGTCAAAACCAGTCCGGGAACAATGAACTTGCTTTGAGATTTGATAGTGTCATGCTAACAATCTATGACCCTAGAGCAAACATCAGCTGAAGGCACAAGCCTAACAGAAGCTCCTAGAGTGGATCGCATGCTAGCTCAGCGAAATTTCTAAGGTAACCAAGCAATCTAGAGTTAACCTCACCCTTAATCAATCTTAATAACTCTTGTCAAGGGGATTGGCATACATGTCGACAGTTCCTTGCTTGATTTTCAATGAGATTTGTCTAAAGAGTTCACCTCTCTCTCCCATCCCAAATGGTAAGTAATGTTTATGAGAAAAGCTCAAAGAGCACAAGGAAAACAAGTAAGCATGAGGAATGCATATGTCTGTACCTTCATGTCTTATGGAATACCTTAGTCAAACAAGGAACAAGCTAAAGACTTATCCTGTGGTTGAAAGAAGGTCAATAGAAAAAATAAAATGATACCCTAGAAAAGTAGGGAGAAATTGACCTTTCAAAGTTCTGATGTGAGAAAGAGAGAGGAAAGGAACTCATTGCACTTCAAAGACAATCTTGGAGAAGATCAAGTGGGTAAGAACAAGTTCAATTGATCGATTTCCCTTGATAAAGAACTCACGCTTTAAATTTATGCAAGAGGTTAGCAATAGAGAGTTTGGATTGCTGGATGAGACTAGTTGGGTTGGTATTGTTCGCTAAACTTGCAGGGTGTATGTGAAGCTAACCTTATGTTGACTATGTTCTTAGTGGAATACAGGAAAGGAACCTTTCACAGGATTTTCAAAGAAGCAAGGGAGTTCCACGTTTTTCAAAACCTCTTCACTAGTTTAGATTCTTTTTGCTTGGGGACAAGCAAAGATCTAAGTCTGGGGGAGTTGATATACCTCTATTTTACCTACTTTTTATGCTATTTTACTATGGTTTTCTAATGGTTTTCTAGTGGATTCTTGTGTTAAAAGGTAGTTTTTATGGATTTATAGTGCAAAGAGTCATTTTAGGTAAAAAGGTGCATGTCTATTTTTACATATAATCTTATATGTTATATAAAGTTGGAATATATATTGTAATCACAAAACGGTAAGATCATATGTTAAAACTAGTAACATGCATTCGTTTTAGATTTTTTCTTTTGGTTCTTTTTTGAAGCAGTCTTATTTTTTTGTTTCATTTAATTTATTGAGCATACGTTTTTTTGTTACAAGATATTGGATATGGCATTTTATAAAACCAAACTAGATTCTTGTTTTTTAATATTCGATAAACCTTTTCTCCTAAAATATAAATTCAGAACCTGTGGAAGCAAGGACAGCGTTTTTTCCGTTAGGTCCGTGCTCGAAGATTCCAGATTGAAACAAACAATGTCTTGATTTTCATTACAACTTAGGTGGACAATGTTTAAGAGTAAATCCATGTGACACGGAAGACACATGTGGTTACTATAACACCCTGACCGCCCCTCCCGGTGAGTCTGATCACGGGATCAGGTCTTCCCTTTTCCTATCCCTGATTCTGCAAGTGCACAGATCAAAAGTAGTAAACGGGTATCGAACACAAGGAGCAGATAAGTACACTTCGAGAATTGCAAGTCTAATAGCTAGAAAACAAGTATGATTTAGGGTTTTTGATTGTGTAACAAAGTAAATCAAACAGCAGATTAAACGGTTTATGAAAATCAATAGAGGGAAACGCTAGGCAATGAGAAACTCGCAGAGATTCAAGGTTAACAAGATATTAGAAGGTTTCGCTAGGGTTTGCGCTATCTAGAACTCAGGTCACGATTGTATGATCTTTCCACTGTCGAGGCTCCGACCCCTTTGTTAATCTACCTAGTCGCTAAACTTTTGGTATGTCCCTAGGTGATTAAATCAAGCAATAGTTCGTTCAAGACCCAATTGTTCACAACCCCATAGATCAACTTTCGCAGTCTATGAAGTTTTGCTCACCAAATACTTAGTTCAGGTTATATAGCAAGCTTTTGGAGAGTATATGAAACCTAAGATCTGATGCTAGTTGATCAGAAAAGCAAGCAGCAATGAATTCAAGCAGAGGCGAAGATGCGATATGATAAACCCTATGTGACTTCTAACAACCTATCAAACCATGAACTCTTTGATAGATCTCACAACCTAACTAGTGAATTACTCAGACATAATCAAAGCAAAAACACAAAGAGATGAAGAAAACATGATTGCAATAAAATCAAAGTATGAAATTGAAATACAAGGGCGGCTCTCTTTCACAAGAGGCTAAAAATCCATATATATAGTGCTAGGTCTTTCTAGAGGCGGCTTAGGGTTAAGCCGGGCTTGAAAACATAATTTGGGCTTCAAAAAGGGCTTCGGGTCGACCGCGGCGTTGGGACGGTCGTGCGGGACGATCGGCCGGACAATCGGGTGTGGCCGAGTCGGAACGGTCGGGGTCGGACGGATCGTGGTCGGCCGGCGTGGTCGGACGGTGAAGATTTGGCCGATGAAATTCTCGGCCGGACGCGGGACGTTTTCCCGGCTCGGACGGATGCATCGGCCGTGGTACGCGAGGGTTGCGCGGCCGCGAGGCGTTTCCCGGCTCGCGGTTGGTCGTGCGCGGTCGTGGCGTGGCGTTGGCCGACCGCGGGCAATAGTTTCCCGGGTCGTGATTGCGTGATCGGCCGACGGTTTGGACTTTGGCCGAGACTTCAGACGGACGGACGAGATTTGGCCGAGCGCGGAACATTCGTTCCTCGGCCAGCCGGACTGCGCGGTTGGGCGCTGATTCTCGATAGAGCCGTCTGGACAGTCTTCACTCTTTTGGTTGTAACTCCTTTTCTACTCATCCAAATTAGGCCGTTCCAGTTGCGTTGGAAAGTTAACTCAATCAGAGCACGCAGGGAACTGGTCTTGATGAAATCCATTGAGTAGATCTTTTTCTGGGCCCTCTTAAAGTTGGTGCTTGTGCATGGAGCGGCTTGAAGTGCAAATCCTATGGTTTTGCTCCAAAATGCATCATTTCACCTGTTTAGACTCTAGACACTATAAACACAGTAAAACTACCTTTTTAGATAGAAAACCTGCCAAAAACCATTAGAAAACAATGCTAAAACAGTATAAAAAGTGGGTAAATTAGAGGTATATCAACTCCCCCAGACTTAGATCTTTGCTTGTCCTCAAGCAAAAAGAATCTAAATCCGTGAAAGAGGTTTGAAAACGTGGAAGCTCCCTTGCTCTTTTGAATATCCTGTGAAAGGTTCCTTTCCTGTATTCCACTATGAACATAGACAACATAAGGTTAGCTTCACATACACCCTGCAAGTTTAGCGAACAATACCAACCCAACTAGTCTCATCCAGCAATCCAAACTCTCTATTGCTAACCTCTTGCATAAATTTAAAGCGTGAATTCTTTATCAAGGGGACATCGATCAATTGAACTTGTTCTTACCCACTTGATCCTCTCCAAGATTGCCTCTTTAAGTGCAATGAGTTCTTTTCCTCTCTCTTTCTCACATCAGAACTTTGAAAGGTCAATTTCTCCCTACTTTTCTAGGGTATCATTTTATTTTTTCTATTGACCCTTCTTTCAACCACAGGATAAGTCTTTAGCTTGTTCCTTGTTTGACTAAGGTATTCCATAAGACATGAAGGTACAGACATATGCATTCCTCATGCTTACTTGTTTTCCTTGTGCTCTTTGAGCTTTTTCTCATAAACATTACTTACCATTTGGGATGGGAGAGAGAGGAGAACTCTTTAAAGATTAGACAAATCTTATTGAAAATCAAGCAAGGAACTGTCGACATGTATGCCAACCCCCTTGACAAGAGTAATTAAGATTGATTAAGGTGAGGTTAACTCTAGATTGCTTGGTTACCTTAGAAATTTTGCTGAGCTAGCATGTCGATCCACTGTAAGAGCTTCTGTTAGGCTTGTGCCTTTAGCTGGTTTCTGCTCTAGGGTCATGGATTGTTAGCACAACACTCTCAATTCTCAAAGCAAGTTCATAACTTCCGGACTGGTTTTTGACTCAATAAAACTTTTTGAAAAACATGAAACAAAGTGAATAAAACATAAGAAAAGAAAGAAAAATGCATTAGTAACACAATAAAACTCCCCCCAGACTTAACTTGCACCGTCCCGGTGAAAGCAAATCACATTAAGGTGAGAGGTAATATTCAAAAAAAAGAAAATTAAAGAAAGAAAATGAAAAGAAATGACCTTCAATGGGTTGCCTCCCATTCAGCGCTTTGTTTAAAGTCATTAGCTTGACTGTATGGCACTTCCTTAAGGATCTGGTGGATCGCCAAGAGCTAGTGTGGTCTCCTGTGGTATGGTGGTGGAGGCTAGGTAAGGTTTTAACCTTTGTCCATTGACTGTAAAGTCTCCTCCCATTGGGTCCCATAGTACCACTGCTCCATAGGGGCGAACTTCTTTAATCCTGAATGGTCCTGACCATCTTGAGCGAAGCTTTCCTGGAAAGAGTTTCAACCTTGAGTTGAATAGTAGAACTTGGTCGTTTGGCGCAAAGTTCTTTGGGATGATCTTGCGGTCATGGAAAGCTTTGGTTCTCTCCTTATAGATCTTTGAATTCTCATAAGCCAGATGCCTAATCTCATCAAGCTCATTCAGCTGAATCAATCTTCTTTCTCCTGCTGTCTTTAGGTTGAAGTTCAACTCCTTAATAGCCCAAGCTGCTTTGTACTCCAGCTCCACTGGTAAATGACATGCTTTACCATAAACAAGATGAAAGGGGGTGGTACCAAGTGGTGTTTTGAAGGCAGTGCGTATGCCCATAGAGCATCATCTAGTTTGGCACTCCAATCCTTTCTTGTCTTGCCTGTTGTCTTCTGAAGTATGCTCTTGAGTTCTCTGTTTGAGATCTCAACTTGTCCACTAGTTTGAGGGTGGTAAGGAGAGGCAACTTTGTGAGTGACTCCATGCTTCTTCAAAAGGTTGGCAAAGATTCTGTTTATGAAATGTGAACCTCCATCACTTATGACTATCCTAGGCACTCCAAACCTTGGAAAAATGATGGATTTAAACATCTTGATGACCACTTGTGCGTCATTAGTAGGGCTGGCAATGGCTTCCACCCATTTGGAGACATAATCAACTGCCACTAGAATGTATTGGTCACCAAAAGAGGTTGGGAAGGTCCCATAAAGTCAATGCCCCAAACATCAAAAACTTCAACTTCTAGTATAAAGTTCTGTGGCATCTCATTCCTCTTGCTTATATTTCCCATTCTTTGGCAAGCATCACATCTTGATATGAATGCATGAGCATCCTTAAACATAGTTGGCCACCAAAATCCAGCTTGTAGGACCTTGGATACTGTCTTGTAAGTGGCAAAGTGCCCTGCATAGCTAGAACTATGACAAGCAAACAATATTCCTTCTACCTCTTCCTCAGGTATGCATCTTCTAAACATTCCATCTGAACATTTCTTGTATAAGTAAGGTTCATCCCAGTAGTACCTTCTTACATCACGCAGAAACTTCTTCTTTCTGTAGCCAAAGAAGTTTGGTGGTGGGTATTCAGCTGCAAGGAAGTTTGCTATGTGGCGAAACCATGGTGTGTTTGATGATGAGATCTTTGTTCCTGGCCTGTGATGGCCTAGTTGTCCATGCTTATTGCTAGCTTCAGCTGCATAAACTGATTCTTCAGGTAGCCTATCATCAAGGGGTATCTTTAACCCAGCATGTCCTAAGAAGCTTCTGATATCTTTAACTGTCTTGGGCGGCTGAAGGTTTGTCATTACTTCAATCTTGGCTTTATCAACTTCTATGCCTCTCTCTGAGATTCTATGTCCAAGCACTATTCCATCTCTAACCATAAAATGGCACTTCTCCCAATTTAGAACTAGGTGCTTGTCTTCACATCTCTGTAGCACTCTTCCAAGATTTGCCAAACATGATTCAAAGGAAGAACCATATACTGAGAAATCATCCATGAAAACCTCCATAATCTCTTCTATGAGATCTGTGAATATGGACATCATACACCTTTGGAATGTAGCTGGAGCATTGCACAATCCAAAAGGCATTCTCCTATAAGCATATGTGCCATAGGGACAAGTGAATGTAGTCTCTCTGATCATCTGGATCCTGAGTATCCATCCAAGAAACAGTAGTATTGATGATTGGCAAGGCGCTCAAGCATCTGATCTATGAATGGCAAGGGGTAGTGGTCCTTGCGTGTGGAGGAGTTCAGTTTCCTGTAGTCGACACACATTCTGTGTCCAGTGATTGTTCTTGTTGGAATGAGCTCATCATGTTCATTCTTGATGACTGTGATCCCTCCTTTCTTTGGCACGACATGTACAGGGCTGACCCATGCACTATCTGATATTGGATAATCACTCCAGCCTTTCAGTAGCTTCATTATCTCCTTCTTGACAACTTCCTTTAGGTTGGGGTTTAGCCTCCTTTGATGTTCAATTGAAGAACTAGACTCATCCTCCAGGATGATGCGATGTGTGCATAGTTCAGGTGAGATTCCTGTTAAATCATCCAAAGAGTAACCAAGAGCCTTTCTATGCTTTCTCAGTTCGCGAACAAGTAAAGCGGTCTCTTCTTTTGTTAGTGCAGCATTAACAATAACAGGATATGTTTCATTAGGACCAAGATATTCATACCTTAGACCAACTGGGAGTTGTTTAGCTCGGCTTTTGGAGCTCTAAGTGGGCACCATGGGTCGAACTTAACTTTGGTTTGTGACATTTCCTGATTCTTGTCAATGTCTGGCTCTTCCTCTTCTCTCTCTAAGTCCATATAAGCTATCAGCTCCTTATAAGCTTCCTTTGAATCCATGAACTTGACTAAGCATTGAGCTTCTCTTTCCATGTATCCATACTCATTCTCAGCTTTGTCAAAGCTAGCTCCAAGGGATCAATAAGAAGGAGTTCATCCAGCACTTCTTCTCTTGTCTCTGCGAGCTCTCCAATCCAAAAAGCTTGACCATCTACAGTTGGCTTCTCCATAGACTTGTTTACTTCGAAATTCATCACTATATCTCCAAGATGCAAGTCAATCTTTCCATTCTTGACATCTATTATAGCTCCTGCAGTAGCTAGGAATGGCCTTCCCAAGATAAGAGGGTCTTTAGGTTGGTGTTCCAGCTCAAGAACTACAAAATCAGCAGGGATGTAGCAATCTCCAACCATGATTGGAACATCCATAATAACACCAACAGGGCGGCGAACAGATCTGTCTGCAAAGACTAGAGAGATCTTTGTAGGTTTGAAGTCAGTGATGCCCAATAGCTTGGCCACTGAGTAAGGCATTAGGTTCACACTAGAACCCAAATCACAAAGTGCTCTATGGAAGTGTGTAGAACCGATCTTGCAAGACAAAACAAAACTTCTGGGTCGTTCAGCTTCTCTGGCATGCGATTCTGAAGTATGGCACTACACTCCTTTGTAATCATCATTGCTCCTTCTTCAAGACTCACATTGCTTGTGAGTATGGCTTTCATATATTTCCTGAGGATGGAATTATTTGGCAAGCATCAATGAAAACGTGGAAGCTCCATTGCTCTTTTGAATATCCTGTGAAAGGTTCCTTTCCTGTACTCCACTATGATCATAGACAACATAAGGTTAGCTTCACATACACCCTGCAAGTTTAGCGAACAATACCAACCCAACTAGTCTCATCCAGCAATCCAAACTCTCTATTGCTAACCTCTTGCATAAATTTAAAGCGTGAATTCTTTATCAAGGGGAAATCGATCAATTGAACTTGTTCTTACCCACTTGATCCTCTCCAAGATTGCCTTTTTAAGTGCAATGAGTTCTTTTCCTCTCTCTTTCTCACATCAGTATAAACACAGTATAACTACCTTTTTAGATAGAAAACCTGCCAAAAACCATTAGAAAACAATGCTAAAACAGTATAAAAAGTAGGTAAATTAGAGGTATATCATTGCGCGGCCGTGAGTCATTACTTCCCGGCTCGCGCGCTTTGGTCGTGCGCGGTTGAGTCGTGGCCGGTGTGGCGTGGCCGACCGCGGGCTTGAGTTTCCCGGGTCGTGATGCGTGATCGGCCGAGTGGTTTTGGACTTGGCCGAGACTTCAGTCGGACAGACGCAGCTTTGGCCGAGCGCGGAACATGCGTTCCTCGGCCAGCCGGACTACGCGGTTTGGGCGTTGTTCTCTCGATAGAGCCGTCTGGACAGTCTCCACTCTTTTGGCTATAACTCCTTTTCTACTCATCCAAATTAGGCCGTTCCAGTTGCGTTGGAAAGTTAACTCAATCAGAGCACGCAGGGAACTGGTCTTGATGAAATCCATTGAGTAGATCTTTTTCTGGGCCCTCTTAAAGTTGGTGCTTGTGCATGGAGCTGCTTGAAGTGCAAATCCTATGGTTTTGCTCCAAAATGCATCATTTCACCTGTTTAGACTCTAGACACTATAAACACAGTAAAACTACCTTTTTAGATAGAAAACCTGCCAAAAAACATTAGAAAACAATGCTAAAACAGTATAAAAAGTGGGTAAATTAGAGGTATATCACCAAACACTAGTTTCGGTTACATAGCAAGCTTTTGGAATGTACATAAAACCTAAGATCTGATGCTAGTTGATCAGAAAAGCAAGCAGTAATGAATTCAAGTGAAGATGAAGATCTATAATGGTGAACCCCTAATCGATTTCTAACAACCTATCAAGCCATGAACTCTTTGATAAACCCACGACCTAACTAGAAGATTACTCAGACATAATCAATGCAACAACACCAAGAGATGAAAAAAACATCATAGATAGATAAAGGTTTAGAAAACTTCTCCAAATTTAATAAGGAGGAGAGATCCTCTCCTTGAAATCTTTAGAACAAAAACTCTTACTGTTGAACTATTACAATATGTGGCTCTCTCTCTCAAGAGGCTAAAAAGTTGTATTTATAGTAGTAGGTCTTCGAAGGCAGCATTAGGTTAGACGGGCCATGAAATCGTGTGAAACGGACTTCAGAAACAGGCTTGGATCGACTAGACTGTTCGGATGGTCAGTCGGCATGTTTGATGAACAGGATTGTGAGTGATATGGAATGGAAGTATGAAATGATATGTGATGGATGCAAACAAAGGTGGGATAAGAAATGGATGGTATGATCCAATCACATTCAATCAATTCCTCTTTATCATCATAGTCAATGCAGCATAACAGGTTATCAATCCAAATGGGTTTGTTGTCACTCTATGAGGATATGCAAATGCAAGGAAGTCAAGAAAATAAGATAAAGGTGGATTGGATGTAACTCTAACAACCTAAAATGAAATAAAAGTGCAATGCGAGTATGAAACAAGCTATGAATGCATGAAATAAATAAGAAACAAGCCACTGTAATGCAGTTCGACCTAGGAGTCGATCGAGTAGAAACAGAGCATTACAGCTCGATCGAGTTGGGGGTCGAGTTAGTGTAAAAACAGAGGAATGCGAATGAAAAGCAATAAAGGTGCAAACTTTAAGTTACTAAGATGAAGATTAGGGTCTAAGACAGGGTTTTGCAACTAGAGGAAGGCTATACTTAATCAATCTTGCTCTTAAACAACTTGTACTCAAGCTATCTCTTGGTATTGAACTTCTTAGCCTAGCTAACCCTTTCCCAAGGTGGAAGCTATCATCTAAGGCAAGATCTCAGAAACAGGGGGTCAGCCAGTGAGATCAAAACTTAGAGGCATTAGAACATTTGTTCAAACTCACCCATTCAACACCTATAAACCCCATTTCGTGAGGCAAACATGTTGAAGCTCTTAGTGGACTTGTTCAAGCGATTTCCCATGAGGAAAATCGCTCAAGAACAAACACACCATGGATATTGGTTGTGTTGCCTCAGGCTTGGTCCAAAAGAGATAGATTTTAGATTAAGAGCATCAAGCAAGAGAGATTAAGGATCAAGATCCTTTAATCTAACCCATCTTAAACCCTTAAGAGGACTACTCACTACACTTTGCGAAATACACAACTAATTGCAATGGATGAGACATTAAAAGATAGAGGAGATAGAGGACTAGATCTAAGGTTCAATGAGCATAAGCTCAAGAACACAAATAGAGGCTAAAGTTTAAAGAAATACAAATTACAAACTTAATTAAAAGCTAAAGCAAGAGAAAAGCTAAAAGAGAGCTGTATTTTTCGTGGCTCAAAACCTTTAAATAGGAAAAGGATTAGGTTAAGGGTCAAAGGTGAGTCAAAGGGAAGCAACATTTTTCGGGTTTGACTTTGACTCCTTAGCTCGATCGAGTTGGTCTTGGCCGGTCGAGCTAGTGCAAAGTTGGAATTTGGCCTAGCTTGACCGGTGGGTCGCGCAGGTAGGTCGAGCTGGCTTCATAGGCGGCTTCCTTCTTCATCCTGAGCATGCGCGGTCACTCTGAGCTTCAAGCACAATGTCCTTTCTTGCTCCTCACGTCATAAGTGCTCCAATTCGACATGTTTAAGGACCAAACATGCACATGTATGCAAATGCAACCTAAAACTACAATGTATGCATAAGATATGATGCTAATGGATGCTAAAACTATGCAAAAGATGCATAAAAGATGTACTAAAACTATGTAAAATGCAAGTACATCAACACCCCCAAACTTATCATTTGTTTTCCCTCAAGCAAACAAATTGAACAAGGAAGAGATGAGGTTTGAAAACAAGTTGATTCAATCTCAAGAACAAGTATTCAAAAGCGATTTGTTAAATGTCCAACTTAGAGATTCTAAAATGCAACAAGGTGAGAGATGTTTCTTAAAATCTTCACCATGCTTAACAAGATCAATCCCACTTCACAGTCACTCAAACAATGCATTCAAATCAGCAAATCCCTTTAACATTCATTAAAAAGAACAGCACTACCTTTTGGCCGACCCAATGTACCCATCTCGACCAAAACGCAAACCGGTGTGAACCAGGGACTGAAATTAAAAACTCACTGACCAACATTGCCTAAAGAAGTGTACTATCACCCAAGCCGGACTTGCTCTTCATTACAAATTGGCCAACCTTTGGTAACACCATCCTAAACCTTTTCTTTTCACTTTTCATTTGAATTTCCTATTTTACCTCTCTTAATCTGATTTGCTTTCACCCGGACGGTGCAAGTTAGGTCTAGAGGGATTACTAACTATGTTTGTTCATTTTGACATTTTCATTTGCATTTTTCCCTTTTATCGAATCATTTTTATTGAGTCAAAAATTTTGTTGAGAGTCATGACCTTATCTTGGATCTAACCATGGTTGTACTAATGTTTAAGTGACCATTGAGCAGTTCATGGCAATACATTCTACCTGATATACCTCTATTTTACCTACTTTTTATGCTATTTTACTATGGTTTTCTAATGGTTTTCTAGTGGATTCTTGTGTTAAAAGGTAGTTTTTATGGATTTATAGTGCAAAGAGTCATTTTAGGTAAAAAGGTGCATTATGGAGCAAAACAGGAGATTTGGACTCTAAACCAGTTCAATGCCCCTGCATCAACTTTGGATGGAGCTAGAAAAAGATCTACTCAATGGATTTCATCAAGACCAGTTCCCTGCGTGCTCTGATTGAGTTAACTTTCCAACGCAACTGGAATGGCTTCATTTGGATGAGTAGAAAAGGAGTTATAGCCAAAAGAGTGAAGGCTGCTCCAGACGGCTATATCGAGAATCAGCGTCCGAACGCGCAGTCCGGCTGGCCGAGGAACGAATGTTCCGCGCTCGGCCAAAACCATTCCGTCCGACTGAGTCTCGGCCAAAGTCCAACCACTCGGCCGATCACACAGCACGACCCGGGAAACATGCCCGCGGTCGGCCAAGCCACAACGCCGCGCCACAACCGCGCACGACCAAAGCGCGCGAGCCGGGAAGTAACGCCTCGCGGCCGCGCAACTCACCTCACGTACCGGCCGACGCTTCCGTCCGAGCCGGGAACTAGCCTCGCGTCCGGCCGAAGACCATCGGCCAATCTTATCCGCCCGACCACGCCGGCCGACCGTCATAACATCCGGCCCGACCGTTCCGACTCGGCCAAAGACCCGACTGTCCGGCCGACCGTCCCGACGACCGTCCGAACGCCGCGGTCGACCCGAAGCCGTTTTTGAAGCCCAATCCGCACAATTCAAGCCCAAAGCCGGCGCCGACCTAGCTAGATTAGGTTTAGCCGCTTCTTATACTTAGAGCATTATAAATACTTCTTTTTAGCCTTGTAACTCAAGAAGGAGAGAGACCACAATCTATTTTACATCTTAATAAAGTTTTGCTTGCTTTTACTTTGTTCTTGCTTGTTACTCTTTCTAGAGAGGATTCGAATCTCTGTTCTTATGAATATGAATTCGATTTCCTTCTCTATGTCTGAGTAGTTTACTTGTTAAGTGATAGGAAGTCAAAGGATAGCATTCATGAATGCTTGATGATTGATCACAATTAGGGTTTTACTTATAATCTCCATCTTTGCTTATACTTAATGCTTGTTGTTAATCTGGCCAATTAGCATATGCCTTTAGGTTGATTTGAGCCTCGACAGTGCTGTATCATTCGCCTGAACTAGTATTTGGTGGGCAATCTCTTTTAGACTGCGACAGTTGATCTACTTGTAGGTTGTGAACAATTGATCTTGATCGAACTAATGCTTGATTTAATCACCTAGGGACATACCAAAAGTTTAGCGACTAGGTAGATTAACAAAGGGGTCGGAGCCTCGACAGTGGAATGATCATACCATAGTGTTTCAAGTTCTAGATTAGCACCTAAGTGCGGTAACCCTAATTGATTGATTTCATGCTTCTTGAATTGCTTATCTCAAGACTATCCTATTGCTTAGCCTTTCTCTCCTATTGAATTCTCACTTTCTTTATTACTTGCATGCTTTACTTTCTCTGCACTCAACCAACTTATACTTTTGCCCTAGCTTGTTCTCAAACTCATAACTTGTAGTGTGCAATCTGGTCCTTGTGTTCGATACCCGTTTACTACTTCTGACCTGTGCACTTGCAGAATCAGGGATAGGAAAGGGGAAGACCTGATCCCGCGATCAAGTTTTTGGCGCCGTTGCCGGGGACCAATTCGCACCTACAAGTTCTTGCAAGAGAGCTAGTCTAGGGTTTCACTTTTCCTTTTTGTTTTTGTTAGATTTCCTTTTTTCTTTGATTTTTTTTTCCTTTTTTGGTTTTTCCTTTTTGTTTTTAGCTTTTCAGGTTTTCCTAGTTAGATATGGAGAAGGAGCCACAAGCCTCTTCCTATAAAGGCGATGCCAATTCGCCACATACCACCTCAAAGCACCTCTTGAGCGAACAAGAGATGTTAAGCCCTCAAGCACCACCACCTTCATGGGATAGTCCTCCAAGACCATCCACTTTGAAGACAAAGAAGAAACTTCTTCCTTACCTTGAAGCAGCCGACCTGGAGACGTCTAGCCAAGCCGCATCACACCAAGAAGACACCTTCTAGCCACACCAGAAGAGGAGATTAACCCTGAGCTGATCGAGTTCGTGAAGAGAGATCAATTCCATGATCTGTTTTCAGAGTATGCGCTGGAGCACATAGATCACTTTGACAATCTTTGTGATTCCTATGGAGTTTTTGACTTTGAGAAGAAGATGATGCTATTCAGCACATCACTAGCTGGACCAGCACTAGATTGGGCGCAGCATGAGCCACCTCTACAATCGAGTCATGGATCGATTTTAGAGAAGCTTTCTTGGAGATTTGCAAGGAACCACCTTTCAAATCCAAGTACCACCACTACTCTCATCAGCTGGAGAGAGAGCGTGATGAAGAAGAATGGGGAGGCATACCACCCCATCCTGAAGTTCTGAATGAAGAGCTAATCAAGCATGTGGAGAGGAATCCTTTCTACAATTCTATTTCAGAATGTGCAAAGGAGCATCTATGCAACTTTGAGCAGCTTTGTCATGACTATGGACTTGGAGACAACCCCAAGAAGATACAACTTTTCCAACTATCACTAGCTGGACAAGCCAAAGACTGGGCTAAGTTCAATGCCCAACATGCTTTCAAGACTTGGAATGGATACAAAGGAGCTTTCCTCACAGATTTGCCAAAGGTCCTATTTATGTCCCACCACCACGCCCAAGCTATTCACAATACCATCCATCATCACCAGACATAAACAAGACACCACTTTTCCCAAGGGAGAGCTACCAAGCTGCGCGCCAAACCAAGATTGAAGAGATGCTTCAAGAGTACTTGAGAAATCAAGAAGAGAGTACAAAGAAGATGGAGAGAAGAATCGATTTCATCCATGAGAGCCTTGGAAACAAATCTGAAGTCCTATTCAAGCAAGTGATCAAGCTTGATGAAGACATTAAGAAGTTAAGAGAGGATCATGATCGATCTTTGACCCTAGTTAAGCTTGATGTTGCTTCCAAATATCAAGAGTTGCTGAACAAGAGCATGAGAATTGAAGATACTAGCTATGGCAATAGCAAACATCTTGGATCAATCTACAACCGCCTACAAGCCCTTGAAGGATCATCTCATGCCAATTACAAGAGAGAGAGGAGTCCAACACCCAACCACCCTCCCTTTTATTGCAATGCCATCACAAGAAGAAGCACTACTCAAGTCCATGAGGACAATGAAGAAGAAGAAAGAGAGTATGAGGAACAATTGAATGATGAAGATGAAGAGCAGAGCATCGACATCAATGCTTCCCCAAAACAGAGCATGGATACACCAAGCCCTAGAGACCCTCGTTTCTCACCAAGAAGTCAAGCTTCTACACTTCCAAGATTGGAAGCAATGCAAAGACCATCACCACCTACTGAAGAAGAAGATACTTGGCAGTATGATCCCATTGATCCCAACAAGATAAGCCCCATGAAGCTTAAAGAGTTCAATGCTAAGGTGAAATCACTTCCATTCTATGTCACTTTTGAAGAAGCTTGGGATAAACATGGTCTAGTGGAGTTCTTTTTCACAACTAGTGAAAACAAAGAAGAGATACACCAACTTTTCAGGAAGGCTCGATTTCCCATTGCCCCTCATGGAGTCAATCAACCACCATCACCACCATCATCACCACCACCCAGTGGTATGTCAATTCCATATCAAGAGAGAAGCTTGCTGAGTTCAATCAGTTTGTCCAAACTCTTCCAGCCAGCATGTCTTTCAAAAGCTTGGCGCCACTACCCATTCACCCCTTTCTTCCACAACTGCAAGGAGACACCTGAGGACATAAAAGAGCTTTTTGAGAAAGCTAAAGTTCAGCCAACCTTCAAGACCCTCTACAAGATTGAAGACCCAGGTCAATTCTCTATTCCCTGTCAAGTAAATGGTCATTACTTTGATAGAACACTATGCGATTCTGGCTCTTGCATAAACCTCATGCCAACCCAAACCGCCAAACTCCTTGGCATCACACGCTTGCAACCTGCTCAAATTAGTATTGGACTTGCTAACCATACTATAGCCAAGCCAAGAGGAGTTGTTGTTGATGTTCTTCTAGAGATTGGAGATATCAAGATCCCGGTGGACTTTCATGTCATAAACATTCAAGGAGGATGTGACACACCATTGATACTAGGCCGACCCTTTTTGGCCACTGCTGGAGCTGTCATGGACCTTCCAAACCGGCGAATGTCCTTAGCCAATGTGGACAAGACAGTCTTTTACAAGACCATACCATTCATCGCACCAAACAAGCTGTCTTACCTCATCACTGCCCAAGGCCGCCCAAGAGAGCCACCAGACCACACTCAAGGTCACAATGAGACAAGAACTAAAAGACTATGTCTCAGGCCGTGCCCTTACCCCATCTCCAACTAAGAGATCCTATCAGTCAAGCTAATGACTAAAAAGAAGCGCTGCATGGGAGGCAACCCATGAAAGGTGTTTTTCTTTACTTTTCTTTTCAATTAGTTTTAGTTAATGTCTAGTTTTGTTTTGAGTTTTGGAAACAGGAATCTAAGAACCACACAATGGTAAAGAAGATATACCACAAGAAGAATGTCATAGTTGGCGCGACTTAGATGGCCGAGCAGAACCTCTCCACGCTCGCCCATGTCCTCTCAAGCCGCCCAACACACCATCCCATCTCATTCCATCTGCATCTCACCCATCCCACCTCACCACACTTGCATTCCATCACTACCATCATTCCACTGCATTCACCATTCTTCAAGTAACACAAATCAGGTTACATCTTTCTTTTTACATTCACAACCACTTTATTACCTCTTTCTTTAACTCCCTTAATTGGATTTTCTTTCACCGGGACGGTGCAAGTTAAGTCTGGGGGGATTGTCGGTACTAATGTGTTTGTTCATGGTTGTTTTGATCTTATAATTGGTTTTTCCTAACCCACTTTTTCAAAACTTCTGTTTTATTGAGTCAAAACCAGTCCGGGAACAATGAACTTGCTTTGAGATTTGATAGTGTCATGCTAACAATCTATGACCCTAGAGCAAACATCAGCTGAAGGCACAAGCCTAACAGAAGCTCCTAGAGTGGATCAGCATGCTAGCTCAGCGAAATTTCTAAGGTAACCAAGCAATCTAGAGTTAACCTCACCCTTAATCAATCTTAATAACTCTTGTCAAGGGGATTGGCATACATGTCGACAGTTCCTTGCTTGATTTTCAATGAGATTTGTCTAAAGAGTTCACCTCTCTCTCCCATCCCAAATGGTAAGTAATGTTTATGAGAAAAGCTCAAAGAGCACAAGGAAAACAAGTAAGCATGAGGAATGCATATGTCTGTACCTTCATGTCTTATGGAATACCTAAATCAAACAAGGAACAAGCTAAAGACTTATCCTGTGGTTGAAAGAAGGTCAATAGAAAAAATAAAATGATACCCTAGAAAAGTAGGGAGAAATTGACCTTTCAAAATAAAATGATACCCTAATTGGTTTCATATATAAGGCAAAGGAGCACGTTTTTATTTCCAACTTTTTCTTAATCTTGTAATTTCTTATCTACTTTTTTAGCTTTTAGCCACCTTTTGTGTTCTTTAGCTTATTTTCATTGAATCCTAGATCTTGGCCTTGTCCTTGCTAATTTGAACCTGCTTATTTCAATAAAAGTTGTTTATTTCATCTTGCTCTTTCATTTGATGTCTATTTCATTGAGTTTTGATGGTTCCTTAATCATGTTTTATGAGTAGTTTCATCATTAGGGTTAGAGATGGGTTAGATTAAGAGTATCTATGCTTAGTCCTTGTTGCTTTATGTTCTTAAACTATAAATCTCTCTCTTTTTGGCTATGCTTCATGCGACACAACCACTATCCATGGTGTGTTCGGTTTTAAGTGGTTATCATCATGGAAACGAGTTGATAATCACTTGAACAAGCCCACTAAGAGCTTTAGCATGCCTGTCTCACAAAAGTGACAGTTCATGGATGCTAAAGGGTGAGTTTGAACAAAGTTTCTAAAGCCATCATGGATCCATCTCACTGGTTAACTCCCTGTTTCTGAGATTGATCCTTGATTGATGATTTTCACCTTGGGAAAGGGTTAATCAGCCTTAAGAAGTTGAAAACCAAGATATTAGCTTGAGTACAAGTAGTTTAAGGCAAGATTGATTAAGTATAAGCCTCTCTTAGTTGCAAAACCCCATCTTTAAGCCTAATCACTCTCATTCTAGTCTAAATACTGTATCTTTATTAGTTTACATTCGCATTGCTTTGTTTCCCCTGTTTTTGCTTTGCTTCTCTGATTTGATCCTAGCTCGATTGGTAACTCGATCGAGTCTAGTTGCAATTACTTGTTTCTGTTTAGTTTCTTGCATATGTTTCATTACTGCTTCATTCTACATTCATTTCACTGTTTACTTGCATTTCATTTCACCTTAGGTTGTTAGTTGTTACATTTACCATCCTTAAACCATTTGGCTTGTCTTCCAAGCAATTGCCTAGTCTTATAGAGCAGCATTCATTTTCCGATTGGATTGATAACCTCAAATACTGCATTGACATGTTGATATCTTGAGGAATTGTTCTCAGTGATCAAACCTGTCATACCATACCATCTCATCATTATTCCATCTTTGCATTCCATCCCCATCGTACTACATTGACAGTGAAAATCCTCTCATTAGTGGCTACAACCATCAGTACTCACGTTTCATGGAAGATAAGGAGAAGAAGTTGATTAAAAAAATAAAATAAAATAAAAACCCTGCTACCCTTAAAAAGGGATTAATCAACTGAAGAAGTGAGAAGAGAAAGAGGAGGAGCAGGAGTAAAGACATGTGTTTAATCAAAGAGGATGGGTAAAGATTCTATAAGTCGCTTGATCGATACTCCCTAGTTGAGACCACGCCTTTAGAAATTAAAGGAGTCAAGGATGGCGAATTTGGAGGGTCTAAGGAGAAGTGGACTGCTTTGGGAAAATCGCTAAACTCGTGGTAAGCACTCTTGTTCTTAATTCAAAATTGCCATTGCTGTTTTGTGTGGATTATTGAGGTAAAAGTAAATTTGGATTTCCAAACGATTTGAGAGTTCATATGTTTTCAAACCTCTCCTTTTTCTCTTATTTTGCTTAAGCAAGCAAAATGCTAAGTGTGGGAGAGAATATATTAGTGTTTGAAACAGGAGACGTAGAAGAATATAATCCATTGTGCCGGTCACTTGCGTAGAGATAAACTGTAAAGTGTTTGTCCAATCCGGAGAGGCATTGGTCCCCAACAATCTGACGGCCATTGTCGACCAAAGCGTGTATGTGTACGGACACGCAAAGAACAAATGGTCTCATGATTCTTCCCATTCACCGCAGAAGAGACAAGCTTGCTCTATGCCCCAGCTTCGCATCCGAACACCTGTTGCAAGCCTGTCGCGAACACAGACCCAAGTAATAAACGAGAAACGGGGTACACCCTGAGGAAACCAAACCACTTTGCACCATGGGACCCTTCCTCTAGACTTCCGGATCTGCTCCCAAGTACTTGCTGCCGAAAACCTGTCAGGGTAGTTGTCGGATTTGTGTCGCCATAAAACAATGTCTCCTCCTGCATCCGGATGTGGCACCGGGTGAGTTTGTATTTGAACCAGAACTTGCTGTGTCACTTGACCTTGCCGCCGACGCACCCGCCATGTTCCATTTAGAACCACCTCCGACACCTTAACTGTACGAGAGATACCTATAACTCTTGTGCCCGAGTCCCCCAATATATCCAATAACCTCCCCTGTTTCAGCCAATCATCAAACCAGAAGAAAACCTTTTCTCCGTTTCGGTCTTGGAACCTGAAAACAGGATAAGCTAAGGGTCAAAGTTTCAGGAGCTTTTTCCACATCCACGACCCCTTTGTACCTTCTTTAGCGTCCCAAAAAGAGCCTCCTTGCAGGAGATAATGCGATGTCCATGCAGACATCATCCCAAGCAACCTTCGCCTTATGTGTGTCATTAGGTGAGCCAAACCAAAGAAACGCAGAGCACATCCCTTCAATGGTATCTAGACAGCTCTTTGGTAATATATAGGCCGAGCACCAAAAGTTAGCAATGCTACCAATCACTGAGCACATCCCTTCAATGGTACATACTTTTTATTTAATTGACTGATATATAAGAAATGCAACTTTCTTATCTTTATTATCACGACCTCTTCTTTTTTTTTTAGTTTTTTTTTTGTCTATAACATTATGGGATTAGCCATACTTTCAAAAATAATATAAATAGTTTTTAAATCCTACAATGTGGTTGGAGGACCGGCAATTTGGGAGCATTGTTGCTTTACCATAGGAGGAAAATACGGTTTGAATGGAAGATTCAATGAACAGTTATCTTCAGCATCTAGGAAAGCTTTGCAACAAGCGGGACCTATGTTACCAAATTTGCCAATCATTACAGATTGTCTGATCTTGCAAAGCATCCTGGCATATCCATCAATGTTGACCAACATTTGCTCATACCGAAATTTCCTGGCATACCTGGACTTGGTTGAAATGGAAGCGGAAATGGAAATCTGGGCATACCAGGACTTTGTTGAAATGGAAGCGGAAACGGAAACGGAAATCTTGGCATACCAAGATTTGGTTGAAATGGAAGGGGGAAAGGAAACTGAAATGGAGGCGGATACTGCGGTAATTGAGCCTTAGCAATATATGTGTTGCATATAGTCATTAGTAGAAAACACACACTCTTGATCGACATGATCAAATATTTGTGATAAGACGTAGATATCCAATATATGCTTTGTTGTAAGTTTGTTTTTTGTTTGATGAGGTAATTGCTCTGTGGTCCACTTTATAAGAAAAAAATTATGTAAGAATACTACTTAGCTTGGCAAAAAGTAAAACGTATTTGAATTACCTTTTTTGCAACGGTCAAATATATTGAACTCGATGATATCAGAGATTTGTTTCGCTCGCTTTTGTATTTGGTCAACTGTATGTGCATATTTTTTTTCCTAATTGTAACCATAACGGCATAACCCATTTATAGCTCCCTTCATTTTTTTCATGTAATTAATTTGATTTGATTGACCACAATATGATCAAAAGAACTAGATAAAAGAAAAAACCAAAGCTGGTCAAATTTGATTTTTCTCTGAAAACAGTTTTCTCATACCGTAACTTTAGTTCACACATAAACTCGGATGATAGACTAATATATACTTTACATCTAACTTATGGTTATTTGCTAGAGAAAATGACCATGTATAAACCCTCTTTTAACATAAATTTATTACTAATAAAAGTTGACTCTATAGACCTCTAAAAGTGGGGTGAATTGGTTTAATATTACTAAAAAATTTCATAATTTGAAAACTAACCCAGGTTTATAAAATTTTGAAAACTAACTTTTTTAATAAGTGAAAAGACAATAAAACCATGATCATTTTCCTATTAATAATGAGAAAAAAAAATATATTTAATTTAGATATATATTGAATTTAGATATATATATAGATATTTTCGAAAATTGTTTAGATATTTTTTAATAAATATTTAAAAATACACATGTTATTTTGAAAATATATTCATATTTATCATAAATATGAATCAAACTCTATAAATATATACACATAAATATCATTTTAGAACAAAGAAAAACTCACACTTCATTCTTAAAAAAAATGATGAATGTGTTAAAGTTAACTCATATTCTATATTTATGAGATGTTAAATTTCAAATAAGATCTTCTAAATATCTTTTTGTTTTCTTGTTGTAAATTTTATTCAGATTTTATGGGAATATCCCACACTAAAGTTTTTTTTTCTCTTTTTTTTTGTTATATAAAATAAAAATAATTGTTTCTAATTATCTTTAGAATAACAGAATTTTTTTTATAATTTAAATAATTTTTAAATAAGATAAACGAATTTTAAAACAATTTTAATATCTAAAAAATTGAGGTATTTTAGTAATTTTGAATATTAGAAAGAATATTATTAGAAAAATGGTTAGTTTTCAAAATATGATTAATTTATGTAATATTGGTCCAAATTTCCTCCTAAAAGTGTCCACATACGATTCTAAAAACTGTTTTTGATTGGTCCATGTTATTATTATTATTATTATTTTCATTGAATAATTAATTTCCTAATTTCCTTTTTATTCTTATTAGAAAACTTACATTTTTTAATTTTCTTCTATTCTACATCAGTATTATTACTTAAACATATTAATTTTCGTTAAATTCATATTTTACAAATATTTTATTAATTAGATTTTAATAATTGTAATTTTATATAGATTATTTTAATAAACAATGGCATTAGAAGATGGTCTTTTAAATTAGTGGAAGATTGATTAAGAAGCCTATACCACTATTCTACAAGATATGTTAGATAATCCTTTGATTTTTAGATAATCTATTCAATTAGGAAAATTGAAAATTATTTGTAAAATCAGTTTTAGGTTAGAGATGTTAAGAATTGGTGTTGTGAGTTTGCGAAATTGGTAAATTAAATTTTCAATTTTATGGTGACTATATCGATAAAATTCATATACACTACCCTTAGGGTTAATTTAATAATAACACTATTTATAGTTGGCAATGAAGAAGGCCAGTTTTATAATTCAATACACGTTAGCAATAATTCACAACGTTTCCAATTCTATAACAGAAATAATATGATTATGTGGATGGTTTTTTTTTTTCATTGATCCAAAACATTTATTTTGTAACACAATTTTGTTTTACAGTAAAATAGTTATATATAATTTTAAACAACCAATAATATTAGTATATATAAGCTTATCTAACACAAATAAATTGTACAAATCTTAAAATTGTAATATCAATAGAGATATATATGAGATAAGAAAAAGATGTATAAGTTTTTATCAAACATAACATATATAAAATGGGTGAAGATGAATAAGAAACCAATTAAAACAAAGAAGAAATCAAGGAGAGATTGAAGAATAATAAATAAAAGAAAATAAAAATCTGTTACAATAAATAAGAACGAAAAACAATGATGTGCGTCGATTAACTTATCTTCAAATAAGTTTATACCTTTAGACATTCAACCTAACTATTAACTTATTTACAATATTATTAGCTTTATTAGCTTAAGTTTGTTGAGATGAACATGTGTATCACATAGTGAAAATTTGTTCTATATAAGATTACAAAGCTTTATACTAAACATATTTACAAAAAAATATAGTCATAAGAAGTTTAAAGGAAATACATAAAAGAAGAAAAAGATGGAAGAAACAAAATCTAGCAAAACCTAACAATTTTGATGGAAATAATTAATCATAAAAGAATAAGAACCAAGAAACGCAAAAATAAAGATAAGCAAATGAAGAAAAAGAAGACGAAGATAGCAAAGAAAAAAACATACAAGAAATCAAATTAAAAAAAAAAAGAAGATAAAGTTAAATCAGGAAACCAATATAAAACAAAAAGCTAAGGCTTTTTTTTTTTTTTTTTTTTTTTTTGTCAACAGCCTCTGTCTCTAAAACAGCTCGGAAATCCAAACTGGTGAAACAGAGTTTACATAGTACACATCAGTAGGTAGAGCTCGAGCACTCCGTGCTAACTTGTCTGCCTTCGTGTTTTCCGTCCTTGGTATCTGCATGATGGTGAAAGAATTGAACCTCCTCTTACATCTGTCAACCTCATCAAGTAGTAATGAGAAAGCCGGTCACTCTTCTGGTTTAGACACCATCTTTACCACATCGGAACAGTTCGTCTGAAACACCATCGTTAATTTTCCCGTCCTTAACATACATTGCATAGCCCAGATGAGAGCTTCCAGCTCTGCCTGAAGAGGTGATATCCCCCTCCTCAGATTGCACCCTCCCATGAGCTTCTCAGGGATATTCGTGTTAAAGTAGTACCATCCTAGACCAGCTCTACACTCTATTTCCTTGCAGGCTCCATCCACCTGACATATATCGCCCAACACAGATAATTCCACGTGGGTTTCTGTGTGGGAATGTGCCATCTCCAGTCGTTCCTGGGCCTTTGTCCATGCCGTAGCCTCCGCTTCTGCTTTAACGATTATTTCATTCGGTCCCAATCCACATCAGACATAACCTAGTCATTACGGGCTTTCCAAATGTACCAAATCAATTAAGGAAACATCCTCATCCTATCATCATTTGGCAAGTGCCAGAATAAATGTGTCATATTTGTAAATAGTTCTCCAGTTGGAAAATGAGATGGTGCTGTTGGAATCGACGATAATGCCCAAACTTGTAGTGCCGGTGGGCACTCAAATAACATGTGATTTACAGTTTCTGGGGCCATCCCACACCGCATAACTGAAAGCTATGTTTAACTATACCTTTGTGATCACATGAATTGAAATATTTATATTATTGTTAGACATTGCGCATTACATGTGAATATGTATTTGTACCATCTCTAACTTATTTGTTTCTATGAATATTTTTCATTTTTAAGTTTGATCAAGTGTATAAGATATAGAAAATTTTATTCTACAAAAGATTAAATTAAAGAGATTACAATAAATTTATTTATAAAATGGATAAAGTCGTGAAAACTTTCCAGCGGATAATAATTGAGAAAAAAAAAGTAAAAAAAAATATATATATATATATATATATATAATAATAATAGAAGAAACAGAAGAACAATAACCGAGCACAAAAAATAAGAAGAAACATAAAAAAAAAATGAAGATAAAGATATCAAAGAATGACGACAAAAAATAAATCAAAGATGAAGAAGAATACGGAATAACAAAATAACAAACCGTACAGACGAAAAAACTCAAGAGGATGAATAAATTTGAAAAAGAAACCAGAGAAGAAGAAAAAACTAGAATAAAATGAGAATATGCCTAAGAAAAATAAACAAAAGAAGAAGAAACATCAGTTTACTACAATGTTCATGATCACCATGTATAATCACCATGATCATGCTAGGAAAATAAATTTAAAATTTGTTTTTTTTGTAAATCATAATTAATTATTTTTTGATTTTCATGATTAAATAAAAATGAATAATAATTATTTTTGAACCCTAAATCTGAAGAACATGTTTGAATATATGATCTTTTGGTTTATCAATTTCTATGGGTTTTGTAAGGAGATTTGCTTGTCGATTATTGTCTTAGCCTCAATTCTATCTCTGAACTATATCTTTCTTTTTGAGAATAGATTGATCTTACTTTGAAACGAAATTACTTAATGTCAATGAATTAGTTGGGTATTGATGCAGCACATCTTTAAAATCAGATTCGGCATCCGCTTATTCCGAATCTGATAAGTTCGAACCTTCTTTTGTTATTCAATTTATTCTTTCATTTGATTTGCTCTTATCTTAGATACTCCTAGTTATTCTCTTTCTCTTATTATTTAAGTAGCTCGATTCATCTCTTTGTAATCATCAGTTTTTAGTAAAAGAATTATTCAGAGCTATTTAGCTTCTTGTTCCCCTGTTTATCGATTTCTAGGTTGAGATCGTGATAGGAAGAACTTCTTCTTCGGGTATTCGCAGATCAACGACGCTAAGCTTTGGCGTCGCTTACGCTACGCCAGTTTTGGTATCAGAGCAGATCTCGTTCTGGTGTCGGGAGGAAATTTTTTTCTCTCAATCATGCCTCCACGTTCGAAGACTGGTGGCAATGGCTGTGATGATTGGACGGAGCTTCGATCAGCACTCTTGGCGATGCAGGAGAACATCCAAATCACCATATCGAATTCGATCCAGGAGCTGACGGAGGCGATTGTCAATCGTAGGGATCATCATGGAAGGGAGTCAGATGAGGAAGAAGAAGAGGAAGTGGAGCACAATCCATTTGCTCGCCGTGTTCGTGATGACATAAGCGATCGTGCCCAGGAGAGGGTCGACCGTCGATGGGAATCAGGTTTCAAACTCGACTTGCCCGAGTATCATGGAAGTCTGAAGGGAGAGGAATTGTTGGATTGGATTGTGGCACTGAATGAGGTTCTAGAATTCAAGGAGGTCCCGGAAGATAGACGAGTGTCTCTCGTGGCAACTAAATTTCGTGGAAAGGCAGCAGCTTGGTGGATTCAATTGAAAACTTCACGAATTCGCAACGGGAAAGACAAGATTAAGACATGGGAGAAGCTACAGAAGCATCTTCGCCAAACGTTCTTGCCATTCAACTATGACCGCACGATGTATACGAGGTTGCAAAACCTGCGTCAAGGGTCTCGTTTGGTGGAGGAGTATGCGGAAGAGTTCACTTTATTGCTCACCCACAACGAAAACAACGACAGCGAGGTCCAACTCGTCTCGCGTTTCATTGGTGGCCTGCGACCACAGCTTCAGACGGCTTTATCGCAATTTGATCCTTTGACGGTGGCTGAAGCTCACAGGCGCGCTACGGCTTTCGAGAGTCAATTCCGTTCTTCTGCAAGTTGGGGAGGAGCCTCGCTCAGAAGTAGGAATATGGCACAAGGGAGCGTAGAGTCATCATCTGCAGCAACGAAAGAGAGTGTTGAACCGCATACAACGCGCTCTCCTACTCAGATGCGTGATGAGCGACAACCTGAGGAGCAGGGATTACGACGCTCGACTAGACCAAACACTTTGCGGTATTTCTCATATGGAGAAGCCGGACACATTCAAACATCATGCCCTAACAAGACGCTAAGAGGTTTGTTGGCTGACAAAAATCATTGGGAGTCCAATGCTTTGTTTGATGATGACGAGTTAGAGGAGGAAGATGAGCTACAAGTTGACCACTTGGAAGGAGACAAGGGTAAGCTTCTGGTAGCTCGACGAGTTTGCTTAGCTCCAACTAAAACAGAGGAACCGTGGCTACGTTCTAATCTGTTTCAGTCGACCTGCACTATAAATGGGAAGGTATGTCGCTTTGTTATTGATTCCGGAAGCTCTAACAACGTCATATCGGAGGAGGCATTACGGAAACTGGGGTTGAAGAGGGAAGACCATCCCACACCGTACAACTTACAGTGGATCAACAAGGAGATTGATATCCGAATCAAGCACAGAGCTATGGTAACATTCTCGATTGGGAAGCATTACAAGGATCGTGTTTACTGTGATGTGGCTCCAATGGATGTCGGCCACCTGATCTTAGGCCGACCGTGGCAGTACGATAGAGAGACGGTGCATGATGGTAGGAAGAACACTTACACTTTTCTGTTTGATAACATGCAAATTGTGCTTCTTCCATCTCCACCAGAAACGACAACAAAGATGCTTCCAACACGAGACAAGCTAAGTGCGACTGCAGAGAAACAAGTGGCACTTCACTCAACTTTGTTCTGTTCGCGTTCTGTCTTTGAGTCGGAATTTCGTAAGGAGGGTGTTGCTTGAGCCTTGATCGCAGCTTCGCCAACGACCTCCGTCACGACAGAGCCTCCACCTCGACTTACGAAGCTATTAGAGGAGTTTGACGATGTCTCTCCGGCAGAGCTACCGCAAGGATTGCCTCCCCTGCGCGACATACAGCACCAAATTGATCTGGTGCCGGGAGCGTCCTTACTAAATCGTCCACATTATAGGATGAGTCCAAAGGAACATGAAGAACTGAGACGTCAAGTGGAAGAGTTGGTGTCGAAGGGACATATCCGCGAGAGCCTCAGTTCCTGTGCAGTGCCAGCGTTGCTCATTCCCAAGAAGGATGGATCTTGGCGGATGTGTGTCGACAGCAGATCCATCAACAAAATAACGGTACGCTATCGATTCCCTATTCCGCGACTTGATGAAATACTTGACCAGATTGGGACGGCAACAGTGTTCTCTAAGCTTGATCTCAAGAGCGGATACCACCAAATTCGAATCAGACCAGGTGACGAGTGGAAGACAGCCTTCAAGACGAGGGAAGGTCTGTTTGAGTGGATGGTGATGCCGTTTGGACTCTCCAATGCGCCGAGTACTTTCATGCGTGTCATGAACCAAGCGCTACGACCATATATTGGGAAGTTTCTCGTGGTATATTTTGATGATATTTTGGTTTTTAGCGCCAACACGGAAGAACATATTGACTTCCTTAGGTGGGACTGAACCACCTAAGGAAGTCCATGTCAGAATAGAACCAGGAACTCAGGAGGAAGTGGAGAAGCCACCTGAAGAACCAAGAGTGTATGAGCCAAAGATCCCATACAGAAATGTTCTTTCTCAACCCAAGAAGGAGAAGGAGCAAGCAAAGCTCAAGGATCTTGTTAGCCAACTTTCAGTAAGGTTACCTTTCATTGATGCCTGCCAAATAATTCCATCTCTCAGGAAAGTATATGAAGGCCATACTCACAAGCAATGTGAGTCTTGAAGAAGGAGCAATGATGATTACAAAGGAGTGTAGTGCCATACTTCAGAATCGCATGCCAGAGAAGCTGAACGACCCAGGAAGTTTTGTTTTGTCTTGCAAGATCGGTTCTACACACTTCCATAGAGCACTTTGTGATTTGGGTTCAAGTGTGAACCTAATGCCTTACTCAGTGGCCAAGCTATTGGGCATCACTGACTTCAAACCTACAAAGATCTCTCTAGTCTTTGCAGACAGATCTGTTCGCCGCCCTGTTGGTGTTATTATGGATGTTCCAATCATGGTTGGAGATTGCTACATCCCTGCTGATTTTGTAGTTCTTGAGCTGGAACACCAACCTAAAGACCCTCTTATCTTGGGAAGGCCATTCCTAGCTACTGCAGGAGCTATAATAGATGTCAAGAATGGAAAGATTGACTTGCATCTTGGAGATATAGTGATGAATTTCGAAGTAAACAAGTCTATGGAGAAGCCAACTGTAGATGGTCAAGCTTTTTGGATTGGAGAGCTCGCAGAGACAAGAGAAGAAGTGCTGGATGAACTCCTTCTTATTGATCCCTTGGAGCTAGCTTTAACAAAAGCTGAGAATGAGTATGGATACATGGAAAGAGAAGCTCAATGCTTAGTCAAGTTCATGGATTCAAAGGAAGCTTATAAAGAGCTGATAGCTTATATGGACTTAGAGAGAGAAGAGGAAGAGCCAGACATTGACAAGAATCAGGAAATATCACAAACCAAAGTTAAGTTCGACCCATGGTGCCCACTTAGAGCTCCAAAAGCCGAGCTAAAACAACTCCCAGTTGGTCTAAGGTATGAATATCTTGGTCCTAATGAAACTTATCTGTTATTGTTAATGCTGCACTACAAAAAAGAGACCGCTTTACTTGTTCGCGAACTGAGAAAGCATAGAAAGGCTCTTGGTTATTCTTTGGATGATTTAACAGGAATATCACCTGAGGTATGCACACACCGCATCATCCTGGAGGATGAGTCTAGTTCTTCAATTGAACACCAAAGGAGGCTAAACCCCAACCTAAAGGAAGTTGTCAAGAAGGAAGTAATGAAGCTACTGAAGGCTGGAGTGATTTATCCAATATCAGATAGTGCTTGGGTCAGCCCTGTACTGAAAAATGGTCGATCATTTGTCCACTTTCCACATTCAAACCTGCCAAAATCGTGATTGGAAGGTTTCCAGAGTGGCCAGAACTGAAAAGATCTGGAGAAAAAAATATTTGGTCAATTGAACACCGACGGTCGGAACCGGAAGTGTCAAGAAGGAGATAATGAAGCTATTGAAGGCTGGAGTGATTTATCCAATATCAGATAGTGCATGGGTCAGCCCTGTACATGTCGTGCCAAAGAAAGGAGGGATCACAGTCATCAAGAATGAACATGATGAGCTCATTCCAACAAGAACAATCACTGGACACAGAATGTGTGTCGACTACAGGAAACTGAACTCCTCCACGCGCAAGGACCACTACCCCTTGCCATTCATAGATCAGATGCTTGAGCGCCTTGCCAATCATCAATACTACTGTTTCTTGGATGGATACTCAGGATTTTTCCAAATTCCAATCCACCCAGATGATCAGGAAAAGACTACATTCACTTGTCCCTATGGCACATATGCTTATAGGAGAATGCCTTTTGGATTGTGCAATGCTCCAGCTACATTCCAAAGGTGTATGATGTCCATATTCACAGATCTCATAGAAGAGATTATGGAGGTTTTCATGGATGATTTCTCAGTATATGGTTCTTCCTTTGAATCATGTTTGGGAAATCTTGGAAGAGTGCTACAGAGATGTGAAGACAAGCATCTAGTTCTAAATTGGGAGAAGTGCCACTTTATGGTTAGAGATGGAATAGTGCTTGGGACATAGATCTCAGAAGAGAGGCATAGAAGTTGAAAGGCCAAGATTGAAGTAATGACAAACCTTCAGCCGCCCAAGACAGTTAAAGATATCAGAAGCTTCCTAGGACATGCTGGTTCTACAGGAGGTTCATTAAAGATTTCTCACAGATAGCAAGGCCGCTAACACGCCTATTATGCAAGGATATTAACTTTGAGTTCACAGAGGAGTGTCACAAGGCTTTCACTAAGATCAAAGATGCATTGGTCAGTGCGCCAGTGGTTCAACCTCCAAACTGGGAACTACCTTTTGAGATAATGTGTGATGCAAGTGATTATGCAGTAGGAGCAGTGCTTGGACAAAGAAAGACAAGAAGCTACATGTGATCTACTATGCCAGCAGAACACTTGATGAGGCACAATGCAAGTATGCCACAACAGAAAAGGAGCTTCTTGCTATTGTCTTTGCATTTGAGAAATTTCGATCATACTTGGTGGGATCAAAAGTTATAGTTCACTCTGATCATGCAGCATTAAGGTATCTCTTATCTAAGAAAGATGCCAAGCCAAGATTGCTGAGATGGATACTACTATTGCAAGAATTTGATCTTGAGATCAAGGATAGAAGAGGAGCAGATAATGGAGTAGCTGATCATCTTTCAAGGATGAGAGTTGAAGAAAATCTACCTCTTGATGATAGGCTACCTGAAGAATCAGTTTATGCAGCTGAAGCTAGCAATAAGCATGGACAACTAGGCCATCACAGGCCAGGAACAAAGATCTCATCATCAAACACACCATGGTTTCGCCACATAGCAAACTTCCTTGCAGCTGAATACCCACCACCAAACTTCTTTGGCTACAGAAAGAAGAAAGTTTCTGCGTGATGTAAGAAGGTACTACTGGGATGAACCTTACTTATACAAGAAATGTTCAGATGGAATGTTTAGAAGATGCATACCAGAGGAAGAGGTAGAAGGAATATTGTTTGCTTGTCATAGTTCTAGCTATGCAGGGCACTTTGCCACTTACAAGACAGTATCCAAGGTCCTACAAGCTGGATTTTGGTGGCCAACTATGTTTAAGGATGCTCATGCATTCATATCAAGATGTGATGCTTGCCAAAGAATGGGAAATATAAGCAAGAGGAATGAGATGCCACAGAACTTTATACTAGAAGTTGAAGTTTTTGATGTTTGGGGCATTGACTTTATGGGACCTTCCCAACCTCTTTTGGTGACCAATACATTCTAGTGGCAGTTGATTATGTCTCCAAATGGGTGGAAGCCATTGCCAGCCCTACTAATGACGCACAAGTGGTCATCAAGATGTTTAAATCCATCATTTTTCCAAGGTTTGGAGTGCCTAGGATAGTCATAAGTGATGGAGGTTCACATTTCATAAACAGAATCTTTGCCAACCTTTTGAAGAAGCATGGAGTCACTCACAAAGTTGCCTCTCCTTACCACCCTCAAACTAGTGGACAAGTTGAGATCTCAAACAGAGAACTCAAGAGCATACTTCAGAAGACAACAGGCAAGACAAGAAAGGATTGGAGTGCCAAACTAGATGATGCTCTATGGGCATACCGCACTGCCTTCAAAACACCACTTGGTACCACCCCCTTTCATCTTGTTTATGGTAAAGCATGTCATTTACCTGTGGAGCTGGAGTACAAAGCAGCTTGGGCTATTAAGGAGTTGAACTTCAACCTAAAGACAGCAGGAGAAAGAAGATTGATTCAGCTGAATGAGCTTGATGAGATTAGGCATCTAGCTTATGAGAATTCAAAGATCTATAAGGAGAGAACCAAAGCTTTCCATGACCGCAAGATCATCCCAAAGAACTTGCGCCAAACGACCAAGTTCTACTATTCAACTCAAGGTTGAAACTCTTTCCAGGAAAGCTTCGCTCAAGATGGTCAGGACCATTCAGGATTAAAGAAGTTCGCCCCTATGGAGCAGTGGTACTATGGGACCCAATGGGAGGAGACTTTACAGTCAATGGACAAAGGTTAAAACCCTACCTAGCTTCCACCACCATACCACAGGAGACCACACTGGCTCTTGGCGATCCACCAGATCCTTAAGGAAGTGCCATACAGTCAAGCTAATGACTTTAAACAAAGCGCTGAATGGGAGGCAACCCATTGAAGGTCATTTCTTTTCATTTTCTTTCTTTAATTTTCTTTTTTTTGAATATTACCTCTCACCTTAATGTGATTTGCTTTCACCGGGACGGTGCAAGTTAAGTCTGGGGGGAGTTTTATTGTGTTACTAATGCATTTTTCTTTCTTTTCTTATGTTTTATTCACTTTGTTTCATGTTTTTCAAAAAGTTTTATTGAGTCAAAAACCAGTCCGGAAGTTATGAACTTGCTTTGAGAATTGAGAGTGTTATGCTAACAATCCATGACCCTAGAGCAGAAACCAGCTAAAGGCACAAGCCTAACAGAAGCTCTTACAGTGGATCGACATGCTAGCTCAGCAAAATTTCTAAGGTAACCAAGCAATCTAGAGTTAACCTCACCCTTAATCAATCTTAATACTCTTGTCAAGGGGGTTGGCATACATGTCGACAGTTCCTTGCTTGATTTTCAAAAGATTTGTCTAATCTTTAAAGAGTTCTCCTCTCTCTCCCATCCCAAATGGTAAGTAATGTTTATGAGAAAAAGCTCAAAGAGCACAAGGAAAACAAGTAAGCATGAGGAATGCATATGTCTGTACCTTCATGTCTTATGGAATACCTTAGTCAAACAAGGAACAAGCTAAAGACTTATCCTGTGGTTGAAAGAAGGGTCAATAGAAAAAATAAAATGATACCCTAGAAAAGTAGGGAGAAATTGACCTTTCAAAGTTCTGATGTGAGAAAGAGAGAGGAAAAGAACTCATTGCACTTAAAGACAATCTTGGAGAGGATCAAGTGGGTAAGAACAAGTTCAATTGATCGATGTCCCCTTGATAAAGAATTCACGCTTTAAATTTATGCAAGAGGTTAGCAATAGAGAGTTTGGATTGCTGGATGAGACTAGTTGGGTTGGTATTGTTCGCTAAACTTGCAGGGTGTATGTGAAGCTAACCTTATGTTGTCTATGTTCATAGTGGAATACAGGAAAGGAACCTTTCACAGGATATTCAAAAGAGCAAGGGAGCTTCCACGTTTTCAAACCTCTTTCACGGATTTAGATTCTTTTTGCTTGAGGACAAGCAAAGATCTAAGTCTGGGGGAGTTGATATACCTCTAATTTACCCACTTTTTATACTGTTTTAGCATTGTTTTCTAATGGTTTTTGGCAGGTTTTCTATCTAAAAAGGTAGTTTTACTGTGTTTATAGTGTCTAGAGTCTAAACAGGTGAAATGATGCATTTTGGAGCAAAACCATAGGATTTGCACTTCAAGCAGCTCCATGCACAAGCACCAACTTTAAGAGGGCCCAGAAAAAGATCTACTCAATGGATTTCATCAAGACCAGTTCCCTGCGTGCTCTGATTGAGTTAACTTTCCAACGCAATTGGAATGGCCTCATTTGGATGAGTAGAAAAGGAGTTACAACCAAAAGAGTGGAGACTGTCCAGACGGCTCTATCGAGAACAGCGCCCAACCGCGCAGTCCGGCTGGCCGAGGAACGAATGTTCCGCGCTCGGCCAAACTCGTCCGTCCGACTGAAGTCTCGGCCAAGTCCAAAACCACTCGGCCGATCACGCATCACGACCCGGGAAACAATTGCCCGCGGTCGGCCACGCCACACGCCACGCCAACCGCGCACGACCAAAGCGCGCGAGCCGGGAAGTAACGCCTCGCGGCCGCGCAACTCCTCGCGTACCACGGCCGACGCATCCGTCCGACCCGGGAGAACTACCTCGCGTCCGGCCGAGAGATTTCATCGGCCAAATCTATCCGTCCGACCACGCCGGCCGACCGTGAATCCATCCGACCCCGACCGTTCCGACTCGGCCACAACCCGATTGTCCGGCCGATCGTCCCGCACGACCGTCCCAACGCCGCGGTCGACCCGAAGCCCTTTTTGAAGCCCAAACTTATGTTTTCAAGCCCGGCTTAACCCTAGCCGCCTCTAGAAAGACCTAGCACTATATATATGGATTTTTAGCCTCTTGAGAAAGAGAGCCGCCCTTGTATTTCGATTTCCTACTTAAGTTTTATTGCAATCATGTTTTCTTCATCTCTATGTGTTTTGCTTTGATCATGTCTGAGTAATTCACTAGTTAGGTTGTGAGATACTATCAATGAGTTCATGGCTTGATAGGTTGTTAGAAGTAGCTAGGGTTTATATATCGCATCTTTGCCTCTGCTTGAACTTAATTGCTGCTTGCTTTTCTGATCAACTAGCATCAGATCTTAGGTTTCATATACTCTCCAAAAGCTTGCTATATAACCTGAACTAAGTATTTGGTGAGCAAAACTTCATAGACTGCGAAAGTTGATCTATAATTGTGAACAATTGTCTTGAACGAATTATTGCTTGATTTAATCACCTAGGGACATACCAAAAGTTTAGCGACTAGGTAGATTAACAAAGGTCGGAGCCTCGACAGTGGAAAGATCATACAATCGTGACCTGAGTTCTAGATAGCGCAAACCCTAGCGAACCTTCTAATATCTTGTTAACCTTGAATCTCTGCGAGTTTCTCATTGCCTAGCGTTTCCCTTATTGATTTTCATAAACCGTTTAATCTGCTGTTTGATTTACTTTGTTCACAATCGAAAACCCTAAATCATACTTGTTTTCTAGCTATATTAGACTTGCAATACTCGAAGTGTACTTATCTGCTCCTTGTGTTCGATACCCGTTTACTACTTTGATCTGTGCACTTGCAGAATCAGGGATAGGAAAAGGGAAGACCTGATCCCGCGATCAGCAATATGCTTCGCAGTGTTGTGGGGGAAAACATCAAGTCTTGGGATTCTAAGTTACCACAAGTTGAGTTTGCACACAATCACGCCAAGAATAGAAGCTTGGGTTTTTGTCCATTTCAGGTGGTATATGGAGTCGTTCCACGGGGTCCGTTGGATCTCACAGTGGTCCCAGACTTGACGAAAATGCATGGCGAAGCAAAGGACTTTGTGGCTAATTTGCAGGAAGTTCATTCCGCGGCAAAGGAGAACCTACAGCTCTTTGCCGTGCGTTACAAGACAGCAGCGGACAAGCATCGTCGTGAGGTCTTATTTGCGGCGGGAGATATGGTTTGGGTGTATCTCACTCGTGATCGCCTTCCGGCTCATGAGTACAACAAGCTGAAGTCAAGAAAGATTGGCCCGGTGAAGATACTAGAGGTGATCAATCCGAATGCTTATCGTTTAGACCTCCCTCCAAACATCAAGACGGCGAATGTGTTTAACATGAAGTACATGAGCCCATTTCGCGGAGACAACAACACCCAAGATTCAGAGGCGAATCTTCTCCTACCTGGGGAGACATGATGCAGCGCATCTTTGAAATCAGATTCGGCATCCGCTTATTCCGAATCTGATAAGTTCGAACCTTCTTTTGTTATTCGATTTATTCTTTCATTTGATTTGCTCTTATCTTAGATACTCCTAGTTATTCTCTCTTTCTCTTATTATTTAAGTAGCTCGATTCATCTCTTTGTAATCATCAGTTTTTAATAAAAGAATTATTCAGAGCTATTTAGCTTCTTGTTCCCCTGTTTATCGATTTCTAGGTTGAGATCGTGATAGGAAGAGCTTCTTGTTCGGGTATTCGCAGAATCAACGGCGCTAAGCTTTGGCGATGCTTAAGCTACGCCAGGTATTTTTAGTTTTATTCTCAATTAGATTGGTATATGGTTCGGCATGCATAAAGTCAAAGGTTAAACTTTGTTGGGTTTTCATTGTCGTCAATTACATTGGTGAATGGTTTGAAACGCTGCATTTTTTTTCTTTAGTTTGCTAGTATCCAAGAGATCTAATGAAATTTATGTGTACAATTAATATGTAATTAGTATGATGTAATAAAAGAAACCGTGGTTGAGACTGTATTGTATCTTGGAAAGTGGTGACATATTAATCGTACTACATGAAGATGATTCTGGTTATAGGATTAGACTTCTTTATTAATCGTGGAGAGGGGTGTTGTGTGTTGTGTTTGGGAGAGACATAGAGTTTTATATTTATTTGCTACATATACAAACTAATCTGGCTAACAGATTTGGTGAATTTTTTCCCTTCGTTGTTTTTTTTTGGTGTAACACCGGGAGCTAGCTCCCAGTTTATTCAAACAAGAAAAAGTACTACAAACGAACTTGCCGAGGACGTGAGTCGCCACGCTCATCATCCCGCAATACACTTAACAGAACCGAAGGAACAAAATCAAAAACATGAAGCCCTAGTGGCAAAGTAAAAGCATAGTTAGCCAATCCATCAGCTAGACGATTGGCCTCCCTATACACGTGAGTAACCCGGACCTCCCAGTCCTTTGATAAGAAGCCATGGCACAGATGCACCAGGAAAGACAGTGGGTGTGTGTCACAGATCCTGTCTGAAGAAAACCTACCACCAGTGAAGAGTCCACCTCGACTTCCAGTCTCGAGACCCCCTTCTCCCACGCAATGCAAAGACCGTAGTAAACGCCCCACAGTTCCGCCATTGGTGCTGTGCAACGTCCAATATTCAACGAGAATCCTCCATGCCATTGTCCGTCACCGTCACGTATCACACCTCCTGCTGTTGCCAACCCCGGATTACCACGAGAGGCCCCATCCGTATTTAGCTTCATCCAAGTAACTAGTGGTGGCAGCCACGAGATAAGTCTCTCCTCCCTTGTCACTACTCTCCGATTGTCACTTCTCAACATAACTTGATGCACTTCTCTTGCATATTCTTTCACAAATTTCACCCTATCCTTCCAGAGTCTGTTGTCTCCAAAGATATTGCCACAACGCCATTTCCACGCCCACCAAGCCGAGACAGCAAACATAGTCGACCAGGGTCCAAACCCTGTCTCAGCTTCTTCACTCAAGTTTGCATACAACCAGTCAAGGAGAGGTATCGCAAAGAAGATTCGTTGCTTACCTCTCGGAACAATACGTCTCCATATCCCTGACATCGCAGGGCAATCTCGTAACACATGCAAAGTAGATTCCACTCCAGCTTTACATACTTGGCAAATCCCGGTGTCACTCATGTGTCTACGAAGTCTTTCTTGGTTTGTCATTATCCCATAGTTACTAACTAGCCAAAGGAAGACGCGTACTCTCTCCGGTGCTCTTATTCTCCACACACGTCTAAAGAAGTTGCTCATGTTCGGTTTAAAGTACTCATCCCGTGACAAAAGGCGATATGCTGACGACACCGTGAACCTCCCGTCAGCTGTCTCCCCCCAGGATATTGTGTCTGATCTCCCGGCGTTCAAGTTCACCACCACAGCCGCCATTTCCAGTCTCGTCTCCTCTGACGTATATGGTATGATTCTCTGGAGGTCCCACCCGATACCATTGCTCCATAAATTTCCCGCCTTCAGGTGTAAGGCCTCTAACGGTATCTCTGCCATAGTTAAATCACAGAGAGCAGAACCCATTAACCACTTGTCTGTCCAGAAGTTAATACTCTGTCCATCCCCCATAACCCAACTGTGACCCGGAATAACCACATCTTTGATAGCCAGGGCCACACTTCTCCACGTGGATGACCATGTTCCTTTAGAGACTAACCAAGAGCCATCATGAATATCTCCGACTTTGTACTTGCTCCGAATCACCCTTGCCCACAAACTAGAGAAATCGTGCATCACCCTCCAACCCACTTTCGCGAGTAAGGCTTTGTTCATAAGATTCGACTTACGGATACCCAGACCTCCTTCTGCTTTTGGTTGGCACAGTCTCTCCCAACCAATAAGATGCTGTTTCCTCTTCTCAGCCGTGGATCCCCACACGAAATCTCGTGACACACGGTCTAAAGCTTTCGCCGTCGATTCCGGAAGCTTGCACGCACTCATAGTGTGCACCGGTACTGACCCGAGAACTGCCTTCGTTAAAGTGATGCGCCCTGCCAAACTTAACACACGCCCTTTCCATCCCGCTAGTTTTGACGAGACTCTTTCAACTACCATGCCAAACGTTTCCTTATTAATCCTTTTCTGCAAAATAGGCATCCCAAGATACACGCCTAGCTCTCTTGTTGCCTGGATACCACTTGCTGATGGCACTACTCAACTTTCGAGAGACATTGTCTGAAAAAAATATCTTTGATTTCTCAAGGCTAACCTTTTGTCCCGAGGCTTGACAGAAGTTCTCCAAAACGCTACGTACTACTCGGACCTGAGCAACAAATGCCTCTGCAAATAGAATTAGATCGTCGGCAAAACAGATGTGAGAGAGTTTGGGACCGCCTCTTGATAGACTAATCGGTTTCCACTTCTTATCATTTATAGCTTCCTCAATCAAGTGACATAATCTCTCCATGCATAGTACAAACAAATATGGTGATAGTGGATCACCTTGCCTCAAACCTCTCATTGCATCAAGGTCTACCACTTGTTTTTTTTGTTTGCAAAGGAATTGACCCGGTCTACTTTGCGTTGACCAGTAGACCTCAACTGCGGTCTACTATGACTTAGTAGACCTCAACTACCATGTAAAAGTAGACCTTCCACTTCCGTCTACCTTTGTGGACCAAAACTGAAAGTCGTTCAATTTTGAAAGAAATGTTACCTCGCCGTCGGAGAAAGGCTCTTCGAAGCCTGATAACTTCAATTTGGGCTTCCAGCAACGATCTTCGGTCGTCAATGTAAGTTAGACAATCGGAAATACCAAGATCAAGATTTGAGATTTCTTGTAGAGATTTTGGGATGAAAATGGAGAGAAGATGAAGAATAAAAGTTTGTGAGATGAAAGAAGGGGAAATGGTAGCTCACAAACGAGTTTTGGAGCATTGAAAGCTCCATGTTCGGTGAAAATGGTGGTTGGCCACATTGATGATATGGCATTTTCGAAATTTTTTGTAGGAGATGAGAGGTTTTTGGTCTTTCAGCAGATATGGTAGACCTACAAATCGGTCTACCAGTCGAAAAAGTAATGGCAATCCTATAATTAATTAGAAAAAACTGGACAAACATAAAACGAAAAAATAATGAGGTTACTTTTGCATTTGACCACAATTTTGGGTTTAAAAGTGAAACAACCCCTTATAAATATGTTAATGTTTTGATTCCTGCATTATTATTCAGGATGTCGACTCAAGCAAATGTGGATTTTGGATTCCCTTACCGATTATATTCACTTAGTTGTGAACCAGTGCCTACCAAAAGCATTAATTACCATTACAAGACTAATTTTCTGGATGAAGTGGAAGAGCTGTAGGATTAGAAGTGTGGGACCAGGGGCGGATCTAGTAATGGAGTAAGGTGGTCAAGTGACCACCACTAATTCTTAGATTTGATTGAATTTAAATATATATTTGTACTATATATTGATTATTTGGTTAAGTTTTAGTGGTTTAACCCCTACTAATTATGAATTCCCAACTTTTGACCCCCTTACACACTTTTTCTAGCTCCGCCCCTGTGTGGGACTACATTTGTGATTCACCTTTGGGGATTATTATACAGTTTGTTTAATAAAAATTCACTTGGTCATCAGATGTGGATTAGTTTTACCCAGTTTTTTAACTGTATAACGCAAATGCACGGGTCATAGATGAGTATAGATCGAGTTATCATCGAACACAAGAACCATATTGTGCACTAAGAGCTATGAGAACAAAGATCAAGTGAGGACAACAAATAAATAGGGTTTGTCACGAATTAAAGCAAAGCAAAGGAAGAAAAGTAAATCAACAAATGGTACTCTTAGGAAAAGTGTCAAGCAAGCAATATTGATACTGAGGTTTTAAGTATGTAGATTCGTCTACAACTCAAGATACAAAGTTAAAGTCTTTCCACTACTCGTGGCTCCAACCCCTTTGTTAACTATCCTAATCGTTAAACTTTTGGCATCTCTTTAGTGTTGTTAACAACTGTTCACAATGTTTAATAGATCAACTTTCACAGTCTAAAAAGAACGTTGCACATCAAATACTAGTTCCGGCAATATAACAAGCTTTTGGAGAGTATATCAACCCATGATCGCATGCTAGTTGATCAGAAAAACATACACAAACATGCATAAGTAACAAGGTGAAGAGTAATTGTAAACGTTAATTCAATTCGACGATGATCAACCAATAAAAAAATCAGTCGATCTCCAATCACTATTGTAATGAAAAGGCAAAAAAAAAAATTTGCATGCCGTATTTTAAGAGTAAAATATTTCATTCCAGTGGAAAAAGGAAAAATGCATATTTACCATATTCTTTGTCTTACCAAATACTATATAAATATTTCATCTGTCCCAATATATAAACAGTTTTAGAAATATATTTTGTTTCAAAATATAAGCATTTTGCACATTTTAATGCAATTTTTACTTTATCAAATACTGTATAACGAATTATATTCTGCAGTTTTTTGTTAGGATTGGTTAATTACTTTAAATAATAAAATATCACTTAATATATAGATAAAATAAGAAAATATCATTTAATTTTCTTGATTTATATATTTTACTCAAAAGTCAAAACTGCTTATATAATGGGACAAAGAGAGTAAGCAATTAGCTATAACCTTTAAAATTAATTTTTGAGCTTCCATTTTTACTTACTTTTATTTTAGCGAGTTAGCAGGTTTTCGATATTATTTAACTTAATTTTAATAGTATTCATATTTTGTTTAGTAATTTTAAAAATTATTTCAAAAATCTTAAAATAAATTCTACATATACGCAAGGCCTTAAATACTGAAACAAGATGAAGCAAAAGGATATCATAAATACAAAGCAAAGAGTGTCCATGATATAACTAGGTTTTAAATGTTTTTCTTATAGTTTTTAATATATACTAAGGGTTATTCCGCGCTACGCACGGGGCATATGTTATATATATATTTTTTTAAATTTAGATATAAGTTGCTACTAACTATTATTATTTACTAATGTTTGTTTCATGTTAATTTTAATCAGTAAATCAGTCAGCATATACCATATTATGAGTAATTTCATCAGTTTTATAAATTAATTTTGAAATTATTATTTTGCCTAGATCCTTTAAAGAAAAATTTTATGTAAATATGATCATTTCTGTTAGTGAAAGCACACACATGTATACAATACTCATAATAGTTTAAGATTATAAGTTTAGAATGGTGTTCAAGTTTTTTTTTTTTTTTTAATGTATTTCCTCTTTAATACATTATGTGAAGGGATAATTAAGAGTTTGTGAAGTAAAACTTCACATCGTCCACTAAGTTCATATCATTTACCAAATTTGCTTATAATTTTATTGAAACCAAGGTGATTTCCTTCTAAGTAAAGGGTTGAAGGTTTTCTGATTCTTACACACACTCATTTTATACTTTCTTGTAAGGCAAAATAAAAAAAAATCAAACAAATGAGAGTAGTATGTAAAAACGCTGAGATTGTATTTCTAATTATTATTTTCTATTTTTGTTTGAAATTATTGATTTTAATACAATATTTGACTTGAAATTAACTTTTGATGTATTTTTATAAATCTTCAAGAGGATAATATGTTAGATTTGCCTCTTTGTTGTCAACAATATACATCTATTTGTGAGCTCAATTAATTATATGATGATCAATCACATTATTTCTTATATTCTAAAATAAAAGAAATAGATATTGAAACTATTTATATGTTCTTTTAATTTAGAATATTTTGGTCATTTTGGAATTTGTCTAAGAAACTTAGTTTCTAAAAATAAAATAACAGAGGTTACATGTAAAAATACTCTGAAAGTTTTGTAATATTTTAATTATTATAGATTATTTAAATTGTTATAATGCAAAGTTTTTCAAATATGATATCCATATGCATTCGGAAACAACTTGATAGGAAACCAAAACTAAGCATGTGTTATGAATCTTACAGGTTTTGTGATCTCTACTTCTACTATATATCTATGGTATATGTTGATTTCTAATACATTTTATAAATATGAGTAGCTGATAACTCTTTCGTTCGGACATGTGTGTTTATTAAGAATTTTAACTACATTTTAAGACTAACGTCTAGTATACATTTAGCAAACAAAAAAGGATAAAAAACCGTAAAGTGGGATGAAAGAAGATGTGGTACTGCTAATGTCGTGTTTGTTTTCCTGGACAAAGCATGTAAACGATATGTTACGACTTGTTCTCCACAATGGAATGCTATTTTAAAAATCTCGCACCTGGAATTCTAAATTTTGCAACCAAAATAATGCACGTAATCAAGAATCATGTCAAAGTTCCCATTGTTTTTATCACATGGTGCAATTTGCGTAGCTAAAAAGTTAATTGTAAATAGTTCATGTCATTTTTCTATGGACCCAAAATATTGAAAATTTTGAAGCCATTAACAAAATAAAAATCTCTCTCCTACTTCTGGACCCAGTCAAGATAAGAGGATTTGTGTAAAAAGAACTTCATGAGCAATGTTCTTCTGTTGTTTCTCCAGCTTCTAAAGAACCTTGTCGCTCTCTTTCAGAACAAATTCTATCGACTCCAACTCTATGCTTGCTGCAGCTGCTTGTTGCGGTATCGGGAAGAAAAACGGTGGCTGCTGATCTTGTTCTCAAATAAGATCTGTTCGAAAGCTGATCAAATAATTAGCTGAAGAGAGCGATACACCAAATAGGAAGGTTAAGAGAACAGATCTGATTTGAGAAATCGCCTTTCCCATAGTATCAAGTTTGAAGATCCTGGAAGACGAAGTCCACATCAAGAAACATATAACACAACTTAGTAAACAAACAGTGTATCTTCATAATCTAATGCGAGCCAAACAGCAAATACTTCTAAACAAAGCTTGCCTCAATTCAACAGTCTCAATTACGTTTTTTTTGTTTATAGCATTTCAAGATCTTTAAACCCACGAAACAAAACACAGCAAACAAATATGTAATCAAAGGCTAGCATCTTCTCAAAGCAAACACAAGTTAACTCATTTTAGGTAAGCTTATTTCATCTTTTTATGTTTCTGTATCGCCTTCAAATTTTTGCTGAGAATGAGATAAAGAAGTTGAAGCTTAAATTGGCCATATCAACAAAGACACTATGAATACATGAGTCCCAAGAGTTAAACATAAATGTTCAGAAGAAGCAATAAGGACAAAACAATTATCCAGAATCGGAGAACTACTTCCATGAAAAAATGGAGCAATGGCAAGCTAAAATAAGGTATAGCTTTTACATATAAGAACGAAGACAAACAAAATAGTTCAATTAGAGGAGAGATCATGACAGTAAGTTCCTCAAACTCCTACATTTATAAAATCTCCTTGCTCATTCTACTCAACATTGGGTTATGCCACAAATAAAAACGAATGGCCAGATAAATTCTTATGATGAAGAGATGATAATAACTGCTCATTCGATGAATCCCAAGTTTAAATAAAGGACACATAACAATTTAGAACATAGATTGTCATGATCCGTACCTGATTGTGAGAAAATCAGAGATTTCTTGCTCCAGGAATAAACCTAGCGGAGTAGAAGTCTTGAGAAATGTTTTATCTGATTCTTGGGAGGAGTTGTGTCTGCAAAATGGTAACACCGTCAGGTTTCTTTTCTCTTGAGAACTGTAAACTTTGAAATAGAGTAGTAGAAACATACAAAAGTAGAAAGAAGTATCTGAATGGGCAACTACTCTCTTGAGAAGATCAATCAAGCATTAGATCTTTTCTGAGGGATGAAATGTTGACTCCAATGTTTGATTATCAGGAAAACGAACCCACATTACAGCCTAGATAGTATCATTTCATAGATTTCTTCAGTTTGTAGACGGAGTTGGCCTTCAACTGCGCCTCGGAACAAACGGTTTGCAGAGATAAATCCCTGGACTGCGTTACTCTAGAAAACATGAAAAAGGGAGAGTAGTTTAGACACACGGAGAAGATACGGTGGTAACAAAAAAAAAAACAAAAAAGAATAAAATTAGTCAAAAGTCATCACTAAGGAGAAACGTAACCACAAAGGAGAAGAGATATGCAGAAAGAAGATGATTCAACTACGAATTCAATCGTCAAGGAGGAGGAGCTCGACACCCATGAGGATGTTTCCTTTCTTGAAATTACGGGCTTCCCAGAAATGGACTAGACGAACGACAACCTCGTCGTTGCATAATTGGCCATCAATCTCCCCGAGAACTTGGAAGGTCTGGGACTGGGCAGAAGGAGACTGAGCTTTGGATGCCATGGTATCGGTAATGTGGGAGGATCTTTGCGATTTTCGATTTTCGAAGCAGACGGAGATCTGCGCTGCCCAGCAACAGTATTTATAGGGTTGTAGAGAAGCGACATTGAAGAGAGGGTAGTGGTCATTAAGATCGAAATAAAGAAGAAGAAGAGGGCAATGAAGCCGGAGAAGAGGAATCGGAAACGGTGCATCTTGGAGTGGGAACGGGAATAGGTGGAGAGCTGAGCGAAGGCGGAGAAGGAGGAAGGCGAAAAGTTACCTGATGGGCCGCAGCGATCTGGGCTTCCTGCGACGACATGGGCTTTGCAACAACTGATGGGTTTTTTTTAACATGTTATGTCACGTGGCATTCTATGGGTGAATTTGTGAGATGCCTTGAGATGTTTTAAATTAACTAGAGAATATCCGGGCTACGCCCGGGTACGTTTCTTTATAGATTTATTTACTATTTTTATTATGAACGGATTTTTATATATCTGTTTTGTCTTCTTTAATTTCATTGTGTATTTTCATAATTCTTCAAAATTTGTTACAATCTTAATATTAATTGTGAGGTTCACGACTTTGAACTTACCTAAAATATAATTATGAGTTTTGGTTTCAATCAAAAGATTTCCATGTGACAATATTTTCTATTTTATAAATTTTATACCATTACTTATACGTGTTATATCTGCAGTATGTTATGGCTGTAAATCATTAATATGATTTATAACTACTAAGATTTTAATCTTATAAAAAAATATTTGAAATCATATTTATAGAATTTTAATATAATGTGTACCTATTAATACATACTCCCTCAATTTCAAAACAATTGTCATTCTAGAGTTTTTTTTTTTCAAATTACTTGTTGTTTTCAATGTTGGTTTTCAATATCAAATTTAAAACACAAATCTGATAATACTTAAAATATATCCACACCCTTGTAACGTTAGAACCTTTATAAACTATATATATGTTCTTATCTTGTTTGTAGACTTTGTGGTGATAACATTTACAACGGCTGGAGTCGAACTACTCTTTTAGCTCTATCACAAACACTGCAGCTCACCATCATTCGAAAATAAAATTTGAACACTGCAGTTGTTCTTATATGTTCTTCAAGTGCAGCATTCACCATTATACAATATTACATCTCCTAGAATTATTTAGAAACAATCTTGAGTTCAACACACACACACACCACAACTGCATATGATTTCCACCATGATTGTAAGAGGAGAGTAATTTTGAGGAGCAGCTGCGAAAAATAAATCTTATATCTTTATCATATTCACATCATAAACATAACTAATACTCCCTCCGTTTTTTTAAGATGGATTTTCTAGGCATTAGTTGTTGTTTCACAAAGATAAATTTTCTACTTTTTTGATACACTTTTTCAGTTTTCAAGAAACAATGATTGTATTTGTTAGATTTTTATTGGTTGAAAATTATAAAAAGTTGTTTTATTGCAGAAATCAATACTCTAATGATTGAAAATCTGTTTTTCCTTAATATGTGTGAAAATCCTAGAAAATTTATCAAAAAAAAAACGGAGGGAGTATCACTTTAGCTAATAAGATGTCTCTACATTCGGATGAATAAATAAAGCAGGTAGGAGATGTCATAGTCTCATATCAATGTGCATAAGCTGCTGGCAATTCAGTTCCCATGATTAGACTATAAAACGGAGAATCGTAGAGAAATTAAAACCAGAAATATGTAAAGAAATTGGAGTGCTATATTATTCAACTTTGTAGTCGAAGTTTCATGATTATATTATTCAACTTTGTAGTCGGAAGTTTCATGATGATATATAATCGAATCACCAACAAACCTCATCAATTACTTGTAGCTTGATCCTTTGGAGCACAGAGGAACATAGGAAAGTCAAACTGACGAAAAATTGCCACCACCGTCCAGATGCATAATCTCAATGAACTCGAAATGGATTCCTCTGGACAACTCAAGTTTTTTAGTTACGTCGAATCCAACCTCCCTCACCACCAGAATGTAACTCCACAAACTCTCCACTGATTCTTGTGTTCGAAACTCTCATCCGCTCACCTTTTCAATTAGTTCCTGGCTTCCCAGAAATGCAGAAGCCAGACGCTCATCTTCTACCAATGATTTGGTAATCTTCTAATATTTTTTGAGTCCTGAAGCAATAACAGTCTGATAAGGTACAAAGAAGGAACCAACGTTGCACAAAGAAAGAAAAATTAAGAAACACATTTAAAAAAATAAAATTTTATGCTGATTCTCTACACACAATTGTGCAATAAAACCAAGAAAATAGCACCTACTCGTTATACATAAGTTTTGTTTTTCTCTGCTCCGAGGTTGGAGTTGGATCAATATCGTTTCCGCTTTGCATCTTCTTTTGGATTGATTCCTTAATTCATTGACACAATTCAAGAAACTCTGATTCATAACTTTGCATATTTCCTGGAAGATAGTTTGTCATAGTAAGTTCCTGCAAGTAAGAAAACTTCAGTTCAATATGTGTTTTCACATAAAAAAATCGTAAGAAAAATACACAGGAAGCGATGTCAAAAATAATTACTACAATATGAAGATGAACAAAGGGAGAAACAAAACAGAGACATAGATAGAAACTATCAGCGCAGCCTAGATCATGTAAACATATAAATAGCAAATAAGAATAACAATGAAAACATGGTGATTATTCTCTATTACAAATAGGATCTCTGTTATGAGTTATGACTACATTGTACCTAGGGGAAATACATAAGACTGAGACTTGAGAAAAGCAAGTTACCTATCTTGCCGTTAGTTTCGAAAGATGTTCAATCTTAGCTCCGTCAGAGACCTGAAAACTGGACAGCACATACGGTTTATAAAAACCAAGACGTTGTAGATGATCAATGTAAATTGTGAAAAAATGACCGAACATGCTATTAGCCTATAAAGAAACATATCATTTTCTAAGAAGTCAAAATCAACGATGTAGTCTTTGGCTCTTCTATCATCATGATCACAATGTATAAACCAAATTTAAGAATACAATGAAAGTAGTAGAATGACCTATAGCTAATCAAATTCACAAAAACCTGTTACGTCGTAAGTGTGTAAATTCACCTGCAACCGTAAGAACTTTTTGTTATCACAAGAAGGTTTTCATTCTAGAGACTTGTTGTACCTCCATATATAAGCTGGTGTTTCAAACTATAGTTCATCATCTTGTGAGTCGATGCTTCTTAAATTAGGTTGAGGCATAAAAAAACAGGAGTTCGATACATGGGTTAGACGCAGATCTCAGAATCTATAAAAGCAAGTTACCTATGAAAAGAATTATAAGATGGAAGGCGATACCTTGGCAAACAATTTCGGGATTCTACAGGCATAGCCACAGCTCGGGGAATCGGAGATTGAATCTGAGCTAAACGGGTCAGAGGAAACAACAAATGCTTCGCATCCGTTCGGGTACCAAGGTTCAATCCCAGCAGAGAAGTCACCGTTCCTAACGATGTTTGAATCCGCCATGAGCGTGGCCTGTACTGAAAACGAAGCAAATGTGTGATCAATCTAAATTCGGATATCGATAAAACAAATCAATTTGATGTTGAAATTTGAGATTGGTGAAATGGATCAGTCAACTAACAACAAAAATGGTCAATTTAAAAATCTCACCTTTGAGTGAGAAAGAAGAGAAGAGAGGAGCCAGAATAAACAGGAAGGTGATTATTATTTGAGGGAGATGGGTGTTAAAATTGGTGGGTGTTAAAATTGAGAGATGAAGAAGATATATAAGGAGATGAGAGGAATTTGAGGAAGATGAATCGAGGTTCAGTGAAGGGGAAGAATCGGAAGCGTTTCAGTTTCTTTTACGGAGCGTGATTGTGGAAGGAGTATAATGATGCTGACGTGCCAACTCCTTTCAGTTATTATAGATTGATTTTTAACATTTTTTTAATTTGGTGAAAATGCCACGTGGCATTCAAAGATTGAATCTGTGAGGTGCTCTGAGAGGCCCTAAAAAAGTGTTTTAAATTAGTAAAGATAAACATTGTATGTGCTTTGGTATGGTTTTATGGCCCTTGAGGTAGTTTTCTTGTATTTTGCGGTTTTTAGAGTCTTAAATGGTTAAATACCTAAAGAGAATCAAAATGTGATTCAGCCAAGTTCCAAAGTCAAGAGCATCAATCAAAGTTCCAAAAGTACGGTTTTCTTAATCGGACAGAACGGAAGCATCAGAAGTTTGATCACATATGAAAGCCTTCCTGACGTCATAGAAGTAAGATCATAGACTCCATAGATAGATAGATGAGTTATCATTAAGTAGGAGTTAGACTGAAGTCAATTGGAGCCGATGTTGGAAATAAACATCGCGTAATATTTACTGAAGAAATATTCAGCTAAGCGCGTAAGAGAAGATGGTGCAAGGAGTACGACCCTTGGGCTGTGTCCTTGGCCTGAATCACCAGGCTAAAGAGAAGACAGTTTTCTACCAGTCCTGGTCTAGAAAACTCCCAAATTCGGCTCGTGGATCCTGACCAAAGTTTGGAATGTTTCAAGTCTAAACTTTTCTTTTTTTCTGGCTACAACTTAACCTGGGTGACCTAGATACTTACCCTCCTAAACCACAAGCCACGACCAAGAGAGCCGTCAGTGAAATATAAAGCCGCCTCCAGTCACCAATAAAACTTTCTCTTTATCTTTCATAAGAGTTTTTGATCTAAGAGCTTCAAGGAGAACATCTCGCTTTGTACTTCAGTATAGAGAAGAATCCTTTACCTTTATCTCTATAATTACAGTATTTTGATCATGATATCTATCATTGCTTGCTGTGTGTATTGTATCATGTATGAGTAGATCTATTTGTTAGGTTGAAGGAAATCAATGGTTGCATAGCATAATATTGATAAAATGATTGCATAAGGGATTATCTATTGGTTCTTCATCTTTATTCATTTTTAATGCATGATTACTTTACTGCACATTTAGTAATCTGATCCTAGGGATAAATAACCTCCGAAGTGCTGCATCTATTTATCAGAACTAGTATGTGATGAGCTAAACAACTTAAGCAACGAAAGCTGACTTAAGGAGTTTAGTGAACTCTATCAAAACCTAATCAATTTGATGCATGTTCATATCTTAAAATAACCAACAAAATCCGAGTTTATTGATTTTCAGGGCATAGTGTTCAGAGCCACGACAGTGGGAAGACCATACATCCGTG